CCCTGACGGCATTTATGAGCACTTTGGTAATAAGGACCAGAGAAGGATTTTGCTGAAGAAGAGGCGCAGAGGATGCTTTGATGTACTCTTAGATTAAGTGAAGTCTGCATCGATGTCTACAAAAATACACACAGCGTATACAGTGAGCGCCGCTCGACAGATCCCTCTCTGCTGGCCCTTCCTCTCCGCTCCCAAAACACCACGGCATTAAAGCAACAGCCTGCATGTTCTGTGGTAGCAGGAGACTTGTACGGACTCTGTCGACAGCTTCAGATGAAGAATCCCCCAAAGAAACACAAATTGGGGAGATTTCTTTTCTTCATAAACTTATCTCTTTCCCCAACTCAGAAATTTCTCCCTGGGAAAAAAAAAAAGGAAAAAAATATCTAAACTTTTAAAAACTTGGGTTTGGAGATGCTTTGATTCTTATTTAAAAAAAAGATTCAGAATCTACTCAATATTCAGAGGAGGGGTATTACCCAGGCCGCTAGGCCCAGTGCCAGTGTTTGAGTCAAAGAAAGTAGAAAGAGGAGTTAAAAAAAGGAAAGAACACAAAGAGAATTATTTTGTAAGCTGTTATGAAACAGTCAGCATTCTCAATCTTGGAGATGATCTTAAACTTTAATCATTGGATCACTTTGCAGAACCGGCCAAACAGAGACTACAAACAGTCTAAATTTGGACACTTTAATATTTGATGCACTCTCATCACCTGCTGAGTTGCTGATGAGAAAAGAGAAAATATGTGTAATCTCTAGTTTAAAATGTACCAAGCCCCAGTTAGAAATCAGCACACCGACATTTTTGCTATGATTCCCTCCGTACTTACTACGTTGTGCAGTTAGTATTTGATTAGGCTGGTAATGTAAGACTGCATGAATAATTCAATGTGAACAAAGCACGTGACTCCGAATGAAATACAGCAGGAACCTGCGCTGGTGCGAGCTGTTATGGTGATAAAAGGCTGACCTCTGCTGGCCGGCTGTGCAGCTCGCAGCCAAACTGACCACAAATCTTAGTTTTTCCTTAAAATGTCTTGTTTTTCATTGTTACATCACTATGAATAAAGGAAAGATCCAATAGCTGTTGTTGAAATTCCACAAGCAGGTTTGAAGATAGAAGTAAAATAAAAAATATTGTATGTGGGACTCTAATAAGGACAGAAAGAGAAATTCAAGCTGTACTCTTTACTAAGAAAGGAGAAGTATAACACCATCTGCAACATAGCATGCATAGTGACACACACTCTCTCTCTTTGCTACACTTTCTCACCCAGCCTCGCACATAGATCATTTGCACACCTCTCCACCACTGCCATCACATCTAGATCAATTAATGGTATGTTTCCAAGGGTGTGAATTATTCAGTCATTAATTATTAATAAATAATAACAAAAGGGCCCAGGAGAGACATAGCCCGGTCAATTAGGGGAGAAGGGAAAAGTGAAGGCAAGCAGCAGGGGGTTTGAAGCTGGAGATCTGCAGCTGATCTGATCTGTGTCTCATCATTATCGCCGCCCGTCAGATGCAATTACCTCATTTCCATGTGCCCTGGCACTTCAAACAACAGTCCAACCCCCTGACTCTGACAGGCCTCCACTTTCCCCCTCCTCCATTTAGCCATCACACATACACAGCATCAACCTACATTCTCCAATAGCATCCCAAAAGCAGACTTTAATCAGATGTCATAACATGTGCAAAGAGATGTCACATTAGACTAAATCAATGAGACAACTACCATTCTAACTCAGAAAGTAAGACACACATGGATGTTCTGATTTCCACTTGAGGGTTCCATGCCTTCTGATTGGCTGACGCTGCAACAGAAACTCAAACTAAATCATTATAGGGATGCAAGTTGGTCGATTAGAAATCCATCTGTCCTTTTTTTTTTTATACCTGCCCAATCCAAATTTGGTATAATAGAGGCTTAGAATGTATCTTAGTCATCATTTAGCCAAAGGCAGGGCACCTGCGCATCACAGGACCAGAAGAAACCTCAACATTTGGAAAAGTAAAAGTCATATTTTATGTACTTAACTCATATCACACCATTTTCTTGGGAGAATTTTTTTTTTCTTCTGATCATTTGAAAAAGAAAACAATAACAATCTCACAATTGTTAGGTGTAAAAACACACCCATTATTATCCCTAGCTGAAACACAATTACAAATAAAATATAGAAAAGTTCTAATGCCAATCAATCAGTTTTAATTACTCAAAACCCGATCTAATGATGAATAGAAACAAAAATCAAATTAAATAGTAATTTTTCATGTATATTCTCACAAACACTGTAGACGTCAAACTTGTATATCAAAAAGAAAAAAAATGAAAGACTGGACAATTGACTGAATGTTAAAGAATAATTTTCTGCTGTAATTAGGTTAGCTGATAAGATTCAAAGAGCATTTGAGATGAAGATAAAACCATTTTACGAATACAATAGTTTAAAAATAGCTGAATAAAAGATAAGATTTCTTGGTTTGAAATTATAAAAGAATTGCGTTTTTGTCAACTAATGTAAATGATCAATACCTTTAAAAGATTCAGAAAATCTAAAAAAAAAAAAAATCACCCAGTGATGCTGTTCCTCTGGGCACACTGCAACCCGGTTTTCCCAAGTTCCCTGCACCAGTGCACCTGATTTAAATTAATGGGAATGGGTTTTAGCTCTTTGAGCTCTGCAGAAAGGCTGACAAGCCCCATTCATTTAAATCAGGTGTACTGGAGCTGGAACCTGAAAGCGTGCAGGGCAGTGTGCCTTGACGACCAGGGTTGAGAACACAGATCTAAAGAGATGGAGAAAGATGTAAAAAATGTGAATGCTGCTAAAGGAAATCTTTTGAAAAGGCAGGAGTAACCATAGTCTGATTAGGTTCAACTTAACCCTATTCTTTTTTCTTTTATAAAGGACATTTTGTGCTTTTTATTTCAAATTTGGATTTGTGTGTGTGCAAACGGTGTCAATCAAGTTTATAGATTTGTAATCCTACATTTTTCTGTCAACCTGTTACAAGCCACAAGATGGTGCTAAAATGTATTTCCTGACTGTTACCAGGCTGCTAAAGCCAATTCCCACCAACTCAAACAAGATCTGAGCCTCATCACAGATTCATGAAGGTGATTCTGGCACCTCTAAGCATTATAAGTGCTGAACACCTTAATATCACACAACTCAGAAAACCTTTTTTTAAAAGGGGGGGGGATTTATTGAATACATGTGATCCAGTTATGGTAGATGAGATAATTGTAGATCTAGGTTTTGGCAGCATGACAACAACAAAGATCTTGGAAAAACTGCAGATACAAAGTCACTGATGCATCAATGTTCCAAATAAGTCTATGTGCAAGCAGATTTTATAAAAGGGATGCTTTTCTCAATTGCCTACAGCACCCGTTCCAAGTCATTAAAGAAAGAAACCTGGAACACGTCCCATAAATAACCTCATTCTGCAGCTTAATCCTGTCTCATTTCTTTAGCAAGGAGCCAAACTGAGAGGATAAATCAAACAGAAGGCAGTGGAATAACATAAAAAAGTAAAAGTACAGAAAGTTTGGTTGCGTTCTGCCATCTGACAGCTTTGCTGTGTACACTAATGAGACATTTCTCTTCTGCGCATCTCTATAAGAAATTGAATGAATGTAAATGTGAAATGAAACACGGCTTCAGAGAGAAAAACAACCTCATTGCCACAAGCATATTGATTGCATCCAGTCATCCCTGTTCTCTCAGGGTATATTGATGCTTTTCACCAATCTTGTATTGTGGGGACTGGTAGAATAGAATAGATAGAAAGTCTTTTTTTTCAATCTGCCTTGATGAATAATTCCCCATTATTTGTATCCAATATGTTTATGTTGACCAGTCCTCCTAATTTCCATCTGATCACAGTTGGGGTTATTTAATTGTTTGCTGAAGAGCTGTACAGAGCTTCTGAAAATTATGTGGTGGGTCTCTAAGGTCAGATGGAGAAAATATATTTAGATTATCATGTGACACTGTGCTCTTATTAAGGACAGCAATGCTTGTTTGTCTATTTTACACTTAAATATTCATGCATGGACTAGAATCAATAGTATTGTCGAGACATTTTCTAGGCTGCCATTTTGTTTATGGTATAGACTTACTATTTATTTTTATCGGCCACTGAAATGAACAATATATATATATATAAGAAATTTTCATTTCAGTTTTGTATTTCTCTTAAAATAAGATGTGTTACAGATTCACTGCCAAAAGAACAAGTCCCAGATACATAACAGCACTTAGATTCCACTGGATTCCATTATTTGAACATGTTATGAATAAATAAAGGTTCGCCTTAATGTGATCAAATAAAGCTCTCCTCCTTGGAATTGAAATAGCATTGAGTTCTGTCATTTTAGCAGAGCAGCTAACTCCATCTCACGGTGAAATGAGACATACTGTGGCAATTGTTCTGCTTTTTCTCTGCAGTCAATATAATGTAATAAATATAAGCCTGGAAGTTAGCAAAGACACGTTTTTGCAACTTTAGCAAAGTAGCAAAAGACTACAAACGGGTTGGAACCCGGGGACTGGTGTCTGTGTGAAGCGTCCGTGTGGACGTCCGTACCCTTTAAGGACCGGCCCTGCTCCACCGGTGCTCTGACACGGCGCCATTGGACGTCCCGGTGGACTGGGCAGGAATGCGGCGACTGCTCCATCCAAACAGACCCAGCAGAAACACAAAAAGGGAGGAGGGGGGGGGGTTACAAAGGAAGCGGAGGTTGGCAGTGGCACTGAGAAAGGCTGTCGCGGATGTAGTCAGGAAATGGTATGCAGCTCAGAGTGTGCTGCTCTGTCTGTCTCGTAGCAAAAAAACAAAACAAAACACCCAAACCCAAACCTTTCACAGAGACTGCAGCCATTTTCCTCAACGGGACCCACCGCGCTTTGAAGCGTTCATTAAGAAGGGATTTTCTTCCGGTCGGGATGCCCCAACGAGACGCCTGAGACGGCTACGCGGCTGGCGATGGCTTCGGTGCGGATGGCCGGTAAAGTTGGAGCAACTCTTTTGGGAAGTGTTCGGGCTCTCCGCGGTTACAGGGCGAGCCGCCCGGTGACGTTTCTTCACCAGGTAAAAATACAAGCCGTATGTCGTCCGAAGCACCCTATAATAGTTTAAATGTGTTTTGTCTGTTTTGTTAGACACTCCCCGACGTCCTTTGTACTCTGTTTTTGATAACCAACTTTTGCGGCTAATGGAGGATTTTAACCCCCCTTCCTTTTCATTTGGGGCAAACTTCCAGACTATAGTTTCGCATTTTGCTTTCTGTTAGTTTATTCCGAGTGTTATTGTAAATGTATTTCCACTAACTGACGTATTTGCTGTGTTTACGTCTGCTGAATTCCTTCGCGCTCGGTGGTCCGGACTGGCTCTGCTAGCCCGCGAAACGCAACCCTGACTCGACTTCGCTTCCTCACCAAAAGCAGTTGTTCCTCGGTTAATTGAAACAAATTGGCCTTTGTCTAGTCTGCAACACGTACTTTTTAAACTTTCTGACCCGCCTTGCCCCCCCCACAGTCCCGAAGGACGTCGTTGACGTATAATTGGCGGCCATTGGCAGAAAAAAAGAACCCTATGATTGTATCACCTGTCAGCTAGTCACCATCGTTTGTGTGATGTGGCTCTACACACGGCTGTATTTTTGACTAGCTGAATTAAAACCTTTGAATATTTATTCATATATTATATATTCTATCATCCATCTTTCTGTTTATCTATCCATCCATCCAAAAGCGCATGGGTCAGCAGAGAGACAGGCACAGGCCCCAGCTGACACTGCAGCCCTGTTTGGCTCAGTGGCTTAAGACTGCCTCCCTGACAAAAACTGACAGTCTGTGGGATCCACAGGCAATCTGTCCTGACTCACTCCTGCATGCAGGAGTGACTAAGTTGACTTCTATTTTTAGACCGATTTTCTATAGAAATTTGATAGTCTGTCTTCCTCTTCCTCGGTTGCCGTATTCTCTCCCAGCATGGGCAACCCAGATATGAATTTATCAGCAGCTGCCGGGAACTCTGGAGGGCAGATTCCTATTACTCGTTTCCACAGAGACGCGGAATTGGTTGGGAAGTATTGCTAAGGGGGCAACTTGTTGTTAAACAGCCGGTACAGTGTTTGTGGTAAGATAGCAGATTTTTGAACAGAGGAAATGCTGACACTAAATTAGTCAATAGAGGAAAATTGTTGACTTTTACAATTACTATTAACGGTGAGTTGTGGAAACAACCTTTTTTCTTTTTTAAGCTGTCAGTGTGTGTCAGGAACACACAATAGTTGAATTGTATATCAATATATTTGATACACTAAGCCTTGTTGCTTTGCTGTCTAAAAAGATTAAATGATTATTAATGGGGTGAAAAATGCCAAGATGAACCATTTAAAAAGGAGAATTTACAGAAAGTCCAACTCCTCTTCAGCTTAAAATCAAGTTTTTGACTCCAACTTGCCGATAAGATGTGTTGCAAGGGGCAAAATGCTGAGCAAAACCAGCCTTCGGTGCTGGCAGTCTGCTGGGGTGGATTTGTTCTGTTAATTACAGCTTGTGGATGTTGGTTTGGGTTCGGGGGAAAACACAGCAGAGGCAAGACCAGTCAATTGCAGCGAGAAGCCTGCTCAAGTTCTCTCAGTCTAGCTTTGGAAGCCAGGCCAGACTGGAACAGAAACCAGGGTAACCAGACAGCTAGCTGAGCTCACTATTGGCGGACCCACTGGCCAAAACAGAAAAACACCAGATTCTCTAATTCAGGGTGGCAGGGCTGACCCCGTATGCCCATCACTGGACTAACACTCACAAATTAAACAAAAACCAATTCATGCTCACTTTCACTCCATGGTCTGTTTAAAATAGGTATTTGCAAGACTTTGGACTTGGGGGGAGTCTTGGACCCAGAGCAAAATCCCCTCATACACACTCCACACACAGTGAACACAGTATTTTGATTGATGTTATTTTATGTAATTTGTCATCCTTAACTGCAACTGTCTCTTAGGTTTTAAAGATATGTAGCTGCTGATGAGATGTATTAACCAAGTGAGGAGATAATTACTCTCCGTTTTTCACTCATCTATGTCAAAGTTCAATCTAATATAAAGACGTTTATCTGAGCATGGCGGGAGTGCCCAAACAAAGCTGCTGACCTACAGGACATCCAAACAGGGCTTAATCTGCACTGCTTATCAATGACTTCTATAAACACTAACAAGGGACAGCGTGCTCAGAATTTATAGAAATATACTCGCTCTAAATATCAACCCCCCCGAGTCAGCTTAATGAGGCTTTTAGAGAGGAGGACGACAGGCAACAAAATATTGGACTAAAAACAAATTAGATGTAATTCTTTTGACCTCTCACGGCTTTATTTACAATGCGATGCTGCTCATTATCTGTGTCTGTGAGTCGCCTAGCCCATTAGTCTTTTCAAATGAAAAACGTTGATCCTCTTCAATTTTTATCTCCACCACAGTTTGCTCAACATGAGTTGCCATTGGTTCACCTCTTATGGATGTAATCATTTGTCAAACCCGAGTCCCCTGGAGATAAGCTTTGCTTTCCAGGACTGAGGCGGTTTTATGTGATGTGTGGTTTAACGGCTCGGTGGCATCAACTAATGTTCAGACTTGAAATGCTTGCAGTCTGCTTGGACCAATATGTTATGGCATTTGGGATGTGCTAAGATTAGTGTCATTTTCTGAATTGCGTTTTTATTGGATTTTTATGAGCTTCCCTCAGCCAGCATCCATCCTACCATCTAAAAATGTCATCGCACTTTTAGCAAACATCGAGTCTCGCAGCTCATCCCTTTTGCCTTGTCTGTTACCTGGGCATTTGTTTTTCAACTAATGATGCAACGTTACTTTAAACACAGAGCAACCTGCATAATTGACATCAAATGTCCAAATATTTTAAAGATGGAGGGTTGGTTTTTATTTTTGCCTTTTTTCCCAAAAATGTACAAATTAGGTGTTATTTTGGGATTAGATTTGTGGAATTCTCTAAACCTGTCAGGCCGACATGGTGCTCTGATGTAACCAGTGTAGCTTGGGAGCTGATGTCTACACAACCCAACATGTGATGTGGACAATCAGTCCTAAAAAACAAAAGCCTCTTTTGGAAGGAAGCCAGATGTCTTATTTAATCCTGGCTGAATTTAACCTTTGCAGCTGCCACATTGCTGCTCAAATCATTTCAGTAGCTCGCTCCACCACTCGAGCATGTGGCGAGTTAAACATTGGTCTGTGGAAAATGTAGAAATATGGGATGATTAACAGTCAAGGCGTACCTCCTGAACACAGGTTGCCTGTCTTTTAGGCATCCTGCACCACCCACTTTAACAGCTGAGACGGTGATCTTGAAATCTTTTGACACTTGTCGTTTTCTTCCTCTAAAAAACTATTTACAGGTTTGTCAGGACCTAACTTAATGCCACTTCCACTCTCCTAGCATTCCTTAAACAAGGTAGATTGTTTTTTGAATGCATATCTGCACATTGTACAGGTTGTTTTTCAGTGCTAGTGTTAAAAAATAACCTTGTATTTTACACAACACACCATCCTGCACTCACCTTCCCATGTTTCCTCTAATGAAAGGGACCATGAACTGAGTGCGACAAGACAAATGATTCAATACAAATAATTTCCACGGTACAGTTGGGTCAATCCTCAATCACACTGGATGCGGTGAGTGATTCAATTTTCCTCCTCGCTGCCTTTTGTTTCCCGCCCCAGCCTTTAGCTTGTACGTTATGCAGATCTCAAGCCCATTCGTTCCCAGCTGCAGTCCTGACAGTAATGTGCTGTAAGTCATCCTCATATGACCGAGTGAAAAAAATCCCCTTCCCTCTGAGTAATGGTACACAGCCTATGTTGAGATTGGGAGGGGAGTCCTTTAGGAGGTCTAGGAGCAACAGACCATAGCTCACTTGTGACAGGACTCATTATGGACTGACCCTCAGAAAGCCTGCTGGGAAAATGAGGCTGCTTGTCATCGAGATTGTCGCTCTAACAAGGAGCCATGGACTGCCTGTGGAGGAAGATTGGTTTGTCCCCATGTTTCCAAGCATTTCTCTCTAAATCTTTGCTTTATCTTCTTTTTCCTGTTGGCAAGGCATACATGAGAACAGTCTTGCTTGTGGGGTAAATATACTCTCTCTTGTAAACAAAAGGATGGAGAAAATGGGTTGATAAGGCGGGGGTGATGTGCAGCCGAGGTCCCTGCTGGCCTGGGTTAACAGCAGTAGCATGCAAAGGACGGCGAGATAGCCAGTGAAGGAGATCAGTGTCTGTCAGAGAAAATATGCAGATATGTTTCCTGTGCCCAGGGAAATGATCAAATTGGTATTAACTTGCCTGTTGCCAGCAGTACTTGTCTTTTAGGACTTGTTCAGGCACTAACCCTCAGCCTGTGGGTGTGTCAGGGCTTCTGCAGAGGAAGTGGAAACTTCAGGTTATGAATAATGGTGAAACAATGAATCCCTGCTTTTAGTTATGCTGCTTGTGTGAGATAGCACGTAGCCTTTACGCTTTCACTGAGTCAACAAAGACAAACCCGCGAGACAGGGATGCTTCCTTATGTCTTGGATTCCTCTATCTTTTCTGCATTATTAAACACTACTTTAGCACCCTGTTAAGCACCCTGTTTAGCACCGGGCTTGGAGCTGCTGGGTGCAGGGTCAGTATTCATGATGCAGTGTGTCTGGTGCAGGAGCACGAACTCGGAAACTGCTGATTAATTATCACACTGCCCCTCAGGTTGGATCCCAGGAGCCGTCAGAGTGGGCGCGCTCTGTTGATTTAGGACAGGATTGGTACTGTGTGTACTCAGGATGTAGTCTGGAAGCATCCAGCTGACGTGACTCTGGTCACTGCTACTCACACAGAATTCCACCATTAAGTGACTTTTCTGAGGTCCATTGATGGTTAGTTTTACATCTACTGTTCTCTTATTTAAAATGGCATTTTCTCTCATTAAGAAATGGTTTATAAACATGTTAAAAATGGGTTATGAAAATCGCTCTTGTAAACCCTCCTGTATTGCTGACACGTAGGAGCAGCACCGCTCGGTGAAGGAAACCCTGTGGCTGCTGCCGGCCGGGTGGAAATAAAGAGAAGTTGCGCGGTCTGTTTGACAATGGGATCGTGTGTGTGCTGTCTGATGGCTATCTCTGAGCAGTCACGTGGTCAGAAGACGCTGTCGGGGCTCTGCATCGGCATGATGCTTTTCGCTGCACCAGGGATTGAGACACGCCGGTATCTGCTGTCACACAGCTGCCGAACTTCCCCCAATTTTTTTAGCTGGTGACACTGTGGCCTCAGTGTGGAGGCGAGTTGTAATTAAGATAAGGATTATCTCTTTCACGTTGTGACGCTCAGTAGGACATTAAAGTGGCCGGTGTGACACACCAGCAGATTAAAAAGGACACCTGACTAATTGCGCCTGGTTGGGACGGATCGTTGCTGCTCCCCTAATCATCGGGCCTGCCCACCACCGGGCAGCCTCCATGACAGACCGTTCAACCGGGAGCACAGGGCGACATTGAAATGCTGCTCACAGGGGCGACGCCACACATGTCCCACGGATCATTTAACAACGGAAAATGCTGATGTGGCAGAAAGTCATTGCGCAGTCGCAACAGAAAATATGGAGTCTGACACTAATGGGAATGTAAAGAGGGGGTCTGTGAAGCGTGTGGAAACCTGGAGGTCACACGAAGGGAGAGGATGGCAGCTATTTTACATCCCATGCAAATGTTTAGCCCTCACATTTGGGCTTCCTGGCAGGGTGTTATTAGACCACATGTGGCCCTTTGCCACATCGCTTTGTTTCACGGCTTGTTTTCCCTCTGCCTGTGAAATGGCAGAGAAATATACCCTGCTCGTGTTTGATGTAATATTGATTAAACGAACCCCCAGCCGGAAGACAAAGAGACGGGAGACTTTCAGCCACATTTAGATGTAGAATTTCCTAATTAAATCAAACCAGTTTCAACATGAAGATGAAAGTGTTGCTTTATGACTGGATGGAACTGGTGGAATCTTCTTTGATGGTATTTTACCATCACATTTGGTATGTTTTTGTTTGTTTAGTTGTCGATGGTAACACCATGTTTTTACTGACTTGGTGCTGAAGGTGGCAAAAATCAGTAGGTTTACCGTTAGTCTGCAGATCGCAAAAAAACAGATTCCACCAACTGGAAAAATTTGTTTTTAATGCTTTTTTTATGGAACATTCCACACTAAGAAACATGGACCATAAATACCTTAAAAGGAATCACGTTGCAGATTCCTTTTGCTCCTTTAATGAACTCAGAAAAGAGAAGTGATGTATTTTCTTGCTAATACGAGCCAGGGAACGAGTTTAAACAAAACGATTTCAGCCTTCTTGCATTATTAACACCAATTCCAGAGAAATTGAATACCAAATTCTGTTGCTAATAGTAGGTTTTGGTCTTATTTGCTCATAGTAGAAAAACCTCCAGACTTGGAGATGTGGTCTTTTGTTAATTTATTGTGCCAAGAAAAAAAAGACTACACTAGACACAAAGCTTTGAATCCAGCCAACTGAAAATAAATTGAGCATGGTTCATTAAGAAGGAGGTAGTTAAGAATCCGAAAGATCTGTGCTATCAGCCGGATGATTCAAACAGTTGCTGAAAGGAATAGAAGAGGAGTAATGGAAGAGAGGCTTCCAGAGTTAGACTGCTCCAAAGCCAGGACAGTGTTTACCGTTTAATCTGCCATGCTGGCTGATTGGATAGTTTACAAAGGGAGAGGCGTTTGTTTGTTAGTGTGTGTGTTTGTCTGTGTGTGTGGAAACGCAGACGATGAACAAACTCTGTAACCTCTCTGAACTTCTTTCCGCCTCTCTGTGTGTTTTCAGATCCATCACCGACAGCCTGTCTTTGGAAGCTGCCAGGCTCTTTTCTACAGCACAGCTTCTCCCTCCAGTGGTAAAGTACCGTCCCTGCAGCCGCCCCACGCCGCCGTGTGTCCGCTCATGTCCGGGGCTGCGCTGAAACGGGCCCCCTCTCCGCTGTGTTGCAGACGTGTTTCTGAAGCACAAACATGGCCGTTTGGTCCTGGAGGTGCCGCTGCCATCCAGGAACGAGAAGTGCCTGTTTTTCCTCAGACCCATGCTGATGAGCGTGGGGGACCTGATCGCTGACCTGCAGAGGGAGGACTCCGGGGCCTCTGCCTCCGTGCTCTCCAGAGGTAGGACGCTGCCGGCGGCGGCTGCCATGCATCAGCAGGCCGCAGCGCGCCGGGGGAGCTGTCAGGCTGGTTTGGCAGGTTATTTGTCTCAGGAGCTGCACAGAGGAGTTTGGCAGCATGCCTACAGAATATTAAGCACTGCAACTAAATGGCAACATGCATGTCAAAGTATCTGAGGTAGCAAATGTGAAGTGATGACTCACTCTGCTGTTGTGCTGACAAGACAAAAAATATTTGACTTTCAGAGGTTTGTGTTCTTTCTGAGGGTGCTTCATCATATTTCCAAGTTTTATCTGTATTTCGGTCATTTGGCCCATCTGTGAGAAAACTGTATAATAATGTATAATAATTAAAGTGCTGACCTGCACGCTTTGGCCCACAGATGGAGAACGGATCGCCAGCACCACCCTCATCGAGGCCCTGCTGGACACGGGCTTCCAGCTCGCCATCAACGACGTGGTTTACGACGTCAGCTCTCCCGAAAAGGGTACAACCCATTGGTCTGCCTCCCGGTCACAGCTGCTAACCAGAAGCGGCTATCCCTCTGTGCTTTATTCCATCCTTTCGTGCCTCCTTTTTGCCAGTGACTTCATCCAGCGAGCATGCCAGAGAGCTGGAGGACATGAAACACGTCGTGCACCTGCTGCACACGGCTCTCCACCTGCCCGAGCACCACCTGCTAACGGAGAGGCAGCTGCTGGAGAAAATAGATAACCTCAAACAGGAGCTCTCACCTCTGGAGAAGGTAGCAGATTAGTACCAGAACAGGCTTTCCGGCAAATTTAACTTTCTCTTTCCCTGCACGAACACTCTGAGGAATGGAGGTGGCGGTGGTGGAGTCATTGTGGTTTTAAGGCGTGTAAGCCATGTTCTCTTGCTGCCTTATAGGTGAAGGCGCAGCTGTCTAAAACAGCAGAATTCCACTCCTCCAGGGTGGTGTGGACCGGCATGGCCCTGCTGTCCGTGCAGGCCGGCGCCCTGAGCTGGCTCACCTGGTGGGTCTACTCGTGGGACGTCATGGAGCCCGTCACCTACTTCATCACCTACGCAACCAGCATGGGGGTTTTCGCCTACTATGTCCTGACCAAACAGGCAAGATGCACAATCATGTTGTTTGTTTTTTTGGATAACTTTTGTAACACCTGGAGCACAGCTGAACAGAATCCCTATGGAGACGACAATGACCCTTTATGTATTCTTGTCCACAGGATTATTTATATCCAGATGCGAAAGACAGACAGTTCCTGCGTTACTTTTATAAAGGGGCCAGCAAGAGGAATTTCAATGTGGAAAAATACAATCGACTGAAAGAGGAGCTGACTCAGGTTTGCTGATGAGTCACTGTCCATGTCGCATATATAGAGATCGCTCTTATGTCTGCTAAAAATGAACAAAAAAATCAAAAACAAGTTTTATCCACTTTGTTTAAACTCCACGTAACTGACGGTTGATTTTTTAACATTTTCTGTCAGGTGGAGGAGGACCTGAGACGTTTGAGATATCCGACGCAGCTCCAGCTGCCGCTTGAGCAGATCCAGCCAAAGCCATAAACGATGCCAAGCCATAAAGAGCTGTTCACTTTCACTCTAACAAAGGCAAAACTATTAGTTTCTTTTTTTTCGTTTTCCTGCTTTATTTTGATAATGGATCATTTATAACCTGGAGTCAATGTTGTTTACAATCTTGATAATCTCAAACTATATCCACAAGAAACACACGAACGCTGCAGACATCATCATATAACGTCTGTGTTTGGATTGTGCCCTTTCAAACAAGTAATGAGCCATTTAAAAACAATGGTGAGGTGTACATGAGTTAAGAACCAATAAAGGAGATGGAGTGTGTTTACCATAAAAATGTTTGATTCTTTATTTCCCCATTTAAAAACAAACCAGTTGTTAAAATCACAGTACCGTGAACACAAAAATACAGGATGAGTATTTAGATATGGCAGATTTCCCTAAAACATATAGATCATGGTCAAGAGTTTGGTCCACAGTACAGCTTTGATTTAAAAAAGACAAACTCCCTGAGATGCTTTCTCATTGGTGTTTTTGGTGCAAATATGCATGATTAAGTTTACAGTAAACCACAGAGGCACGAACGGCTCAATGAATGTAAGTTCCCTTCTTTAAGGGGCAGGTTTGAAGACAGTATGTGTGTTAAACATTGAAAACCTCTACTGTGATAGCCACCTAAACCCTGACATGGCGAGAATCACTCGAAGCACTAGCTGCCATGCTGCTAGCTCAACTGGTCCACAGGATTAAACTGCCTCAAAGACAGCTAGACGGCAAAAAGACGCTCCCTGAAAATTCCAGCTTGATTTGGTCCAGTGTGTCTTCAGTGGAAGGCTTCCACGTACGACACCGGTGTCAGTGTTTGGTCCTGATGTTTCCTTGGCTTATTAAGGAATCCTTTCAGGACAAATAGCATTTATGTGCCACCGGAGTGATTTAAAAGTAGTTTTTTAAGTAGTTTGTGTTAATTTGCATAAAAAGCTATTAAGTGCTAAATATGTTCTTGTGTCTGAGGGACAAATAACAGGGGCTCTTAACAGCAGCATGCATTAATGTTCGTTAATGTGTTGTGCTAGGGTTAGTGTGTTAAACTCAAAGCTACACGATATGCTCTGTGGGATGGCAAACCATTCCTGACAGGTTTTAACCTGGACTGCTGCCCGGGCCTTCCTGTTGGATCGCATAATCCTTTCAGCTGTATGTTCATATTCATACGTTACTGCGATATCATCAGAAAATTAACTAAAGTGGTTCCTGTCATTTCATAACCACTTATGTCAACTGGAGCTGTCAGCTCAGTTGGTTTAGTTCATTATTCTGCATGTGCATGTCAATCATAACGGTCATTAGTGAGAAATAAATGGGTATGACAGAGAGAGAGAAACATCCTCTGCACAAAGGGTAACTTTTCAGCTAATCCTAAACTGACTCATCGACCCAAAGATGTTAATGTTTCGGTCTAAAGTAGAGTTTCTTGGTGAGCATGGATGCAAAGCAGGGCACCTGTTTTTTCCCAATGGCGCTCCTGTCATTGCAGTTCCCAACGCTCCTCATTGACACTTTTCGGTTGACCAGTGTGAGCAACTCTGTGAATTCAAGGGAGTCTCCGTACTTTTTTAGCATCTCACACAGGTCCTGGATGTACCAGGAGCCGTTGATGGTCTCTCGGTGGGAATAGTAACCTTGAATGGCACAGAGCATGAACAGAAAGGTTAGGATTGATGGAAGAGAGCTGCAATATGGATTAAGTTAGATACAATACCAAAGCCTGGTTTAAAAAAAAACAACTGTTTGACTTAGTTCGGGTTCCCTGACTTTTAAAATCAAGCAGCTAGCTACACCCCTCCTCTATCAAACCCTGCTGCGTCCACCCCGGCTTTCTTTTCAAGTCTTCACTTTCCACTATTTTCTTCCTCAGTGGAGCAACCTGGGTGACTCACCCTCAGCCACAGAGTAGCACATGATGAAGTCGGCCCCAGAGGGGAGTGTGTACACCGCACTGGCATCCACCACCACCTCATTAACCTTCAGGTCGTTGTCCACGGCATCGCAGGCTGTCACGGGCTCATCGTGTTTGTCCCCACGGCACGCCTGCAGACAGACGGCCATTTAACCACCTGAGAAAGTACTTTGCATTTCCAAATCAAGTTACAAAACATGCTGACATTGGACATTTTGTTTTTTTTTATTTGCATGTACCTGCACTATAAAAATCTTAGGCTTTCCCACAAGACTCTTGCACTTGTCTCCCTTGAACATGGACGTGATATCTTGGAGATTGATCTTGCCATCGTAGGTGTAAACATGATCATTCTCGCCGTGGCTCAGGAAGACCAGCAGAAAGCAGTCGGCATCCGAGTGATCGTCTTCAGCAGCTGGAGGACAATCAGGCATACCCTAAAGCTGTTACAGGGCAGGCTAAAACGTGTATAACAAGCTGGATCTGTCAGCTACATTTGCATGTGCGGGAGGAGAAAGGACCCAACTGCACAGCCCTTTAAACTGCAGTGCTAAATTAAATACAAGTTTTAACTAAAGGATCGTATGTTTGCGTACCTTCACAGATTTTATCCAGGACTTCCACCTGTTTATAGTTATCATAACTCCTGACTTCGAAGTTTAGCGCCTGCAGTCTAAAGAGAAGAAAGAATGAGTTCAGGTGGAGGAAAATTAAAGTTTGGCAGAAGGCAGAAAGTTTGCCATATATGAGACTTGTAGCTTTTGAACAAGTGCATTTCTGTTCTTGTGCGTGCACCTTTTCTCCAGGTTGAGACGGTCTGCGGTGGTTCCACGTCTTTCAGGCAACGCCAGGCGCCAGAAGAAGCGCTCCTGGTTGAAAATCAGAGCAAGGCCTCGCCGTTTGTTGCCCATCTTGTATTCCTCTGCTGGATCCAAATCTATGTTATAGCTGCACCAAAAAAAAAGATTGGCGGCAAAGAAACAAAAAGAGAGCACAAACACATTGTAGACAAATGAGTTCTGGACATATAGAATTAGATAGCTGACAGCAGCATGAGGAAAAAAGTGCTGTTTACCTGTGGAAGAAAGAGTCCGTCTCTGTAACGTTGCATTCTGTGGAAAACAACATATGCATTTATAAGACATATTCAGTCATAGAATCTGCAAAGCTCCCCTTTCCCAACTAGTTTGGCATCCTGACGGCCTTCAGCGGCTGAGTGACAGGTGGGGAAAGAAATAACCAGCTCTATTCTGTGCACGACAAAACGCTAGACCTTATCTCTAAAGAGCGCCTCTCTATGAACATGTTATTACATGACTTTTAAGCAGAAGCGTGTCCACGGCTTTTTTCTCGTGCTTGACAGCAGTATCTGGCTAATGCCAACACTTGTGACAGTTTTAAATCCAATTTTTGTTTCTTTTTCTTCAAAGTGCACCAAATAGATGCTTTATGGGGGATGAAATTATTCCCCTGCCATCAGGTCACAGAGTGTTAATGATAAACACCTGCGGTTTTTACAGGTTCCTAACAGCCCCTTGGAAGAAGGTTTTAATGGTTATGAGTTCATAGTGTTTCAACATCTTTGATTGTAGTTCTGCATGACAAAACGTTGATGTACATTCCAACTATCAGTTTCTAAATGACACAGATCGTAGATAGCCAGAAGTTTCTTTATTGCCTAAATGATATTCAATAACCACTAGGGCACCTTCGAGTTATTAATTAATCAATAATAATCTAAAGCTCAGACGGAAACTTTAAAATCTGGTTGAAAAAACTGCATGGAAACTTTTACACTAATATCTTTCGACAAAAGCAATTATTGTACTTTTTTCTTGCATATCTAAGAAAGATTTGTCTTTTTCAAGGCGTTTGTCCTTTACTCACCCGCCTGGTCTGTTGTTTTCGTGCTATCCATAACAACACTTCCTGGAGAAGGTGAGAGAAACTGTGAAAAGTCCCGACCACAGAAGTGGTCAGGCCACAAAACATGTCTCAGAAAGAGTACCGACTTGGTAGCTGATCACAGAACACATAACAATTGAGGTACCAAGACCAGTGACAGAACACGTACAAAAATCCGAGTAATCTTTTAAATTACAAACATCGCATATTAAGATTAAGTGTGTTTTTCCATTTTTAAATGCTGCAATACAGCCCGCGTTTTAAGTATGTCCTGAAGTAAGAAGTTATGTGTCAAAACAATTACCTCCGCTGCTCTTTTTCGATTTGTCTGACATGTTCATGTGTAGTCTTCGCCCCAAATGTCACAACGAAAAGTAATAAACTTGACAAAGAAAAGAGCTGCAAATTAGCCACGTTATGGCTCCGCCTCTGTAACATCATTGGCTTGACTGACAATAAGAGAATGTGATTGGTCTTCACAGCCGTCGGTCAAACGTCAAAAAGTGCGCCTGGATTGGGCCCGATCCGCTGACCTATGCGGGCTACAGTGACACCTACTAGCCAATCCCTGACCGCACAGTAGCTTTATCAACCAATCATAGTCGATTACCTTCCTGACTTCAGAGACTTCCGTATTTCAAACAATGGAATCCATTGACATGTCTATATTTGCCAGACGCTTTTATCCAATGGGATTAACAATTCCACTGAAGATTTAACAATCAAATATAATTTTGACAACAATTTACTATAAACAATTTTTATATCAAGAGTCTGTTAGAGGGAGAGTAGATAATTAGGTTGGTTTAGTGCAGTTAAATAAAACAGCATGACTAAAAGGTTTTGGCAAATATGGTGGTACAGTTCAGGTTATTGTTAACCTAAAGAGTTACTTCTATGAACTATCATTTCAATGATGTTCCCTCATACTGATCACATAACTTGTCAAATAAAGACACGTTGTGAGTTCAAAAATGTTTTATCTTTAATAATCAGAAAGTACCCACCCACCCCCCCAAAAAGATATAATATATCTTCAGTGGAAAGCAATATTAAACAGTGTTCTCTATATGCATAAATAATTTGTTACATAGGGAAATAAATTATCCATTTTAGAAACAGGTCATTTTAATCTGCATACACACATTTCGAAAGTTTCAAAGGAGAGGAAATTATTACAGATCAGTGCCAGCTGAATAAGCTCTATCCCTGAGAAAATCTACACGTTTAAAAGAAAACTTTATTGCTGGCATTGTTTCTTTGAACAGTTGTATTTCCTAATGTGCCTGATACAGTGTTTGTTTCCACAGAAGCATCACAGTTCTCTCTTTAATTCGTACTGGCACACGCAGGAGTCCCGCTGACTGTCCAGGTATGGCTTACATCCCAAGTGCATGACGGCATCAAAAAGGAGGGTTACTGCTGACTCGCATGCTGTTGAGTCAAAGAGCAAGAACACAAGACAGAGCATTAGCAAACACATAATGAAGGGGTCAGAGTCTTCCAAGTGTTGATCCACAAGATCAGATTCTGCTGTCAAAAGATAATGTACTCAATTGTAGAAATAGAATTTGCCATATCATATAAATCGAACTAAAGATTAAACAACGACTGCCATAAGGTGTTCTGATAGGAAAAGCATGTCCTTGTCTTTGTAGATAAAATAAGATATATCATTTAAAAATGCGGGATTCTAAAAAAAGCTCAATACTGCCATCAGGTGGACATACTGTATAATTAAAGGGTCAATGTCTAGAAATGATGTTGTCAATATCCTAATATGATTAGGGCACGACACAAATGCTAAATATTGCACATTTAAAAACATTGAGTTGTTGATGGCTGATGGTAAACGCAGGAACTGGAACCTTAAAATGGTTCCAGTTACCACAACAGAAATAATTTTGAGATCATTTTTGGGGTATGGATTAAATTAATAAGAGTTAGTCAAGTTCAGTTAGGCGCCTCAGAACAAAGATTGAGAAACCAGCTCACCTACATAGAGCACAGCTGTTTATTAAAGTATTCAGTCCAAAATAACAGCCTGCCATGCCTTTGATATAACACATCAGTGTGGGCTGAGTCTTTTATGTGGCTAAGAGCAACAGCCTATCATTTTCTATGGACTTTGATGTGATCAGCTGTACCCTCTTTTTGCACTTATGACCCACTAAGATGTCACAAACACTTTCTTAAACTTGCGATAGTCAATACTACAGCAAAAAGGTCAATTAATTGGTTTAACAGATATTTATTCTTAATATTGTATGCACGGCAGAGGTCTCTTAGACCTACTGCCAACAATTACTTTGCATTAGCCAACAATCTGAGACTAGTACCTCAATATATAAAACTAGGCAACTATGTCATCCAGCTAGGGCTGGCGTTATTCTACCATTATTGAGGTTTGGAATCTCCAACCATAATGTTGCCCTGCCAGTATCAATGCTGTTGATGTTCGATGGAAACTTCTGACCCACCAAAAAGGAATGTGATAAGAACACATTCCAATAAAAGTACGCGTACCACTGGGAACAGACTTGCAGGTCACATGAAGCAGACCGAGTGAGTCTCCTACCTTGGACACTCTGAGCCAACCCCAAAGTTTTTTGAACATTCCTGCAAATGGTCTCCAGACAGTCCTGGAACTGCTCGTCGCAATCGTGTTTCTCGCGGCCGCAGGTATCATAGCAGCGGTCATGTTGGTTGCAGCATTTAGTCATGGATGGTATACCTATATCAAACTGAAAAACAAAATAAAAACACAGCACACTTATTATGTGGTTGTTCAGAAACCATGTTAGGAGTGACTAAAGGCAAAAGCCTTGGAAGGTCTTATTGTTTAGCCACAGAGATTTTTTTTATTTAGCAAAAGTGGCGTCCAAAAATGGTTAGATTACATGAAATCCAAAGAGTGGAGAGCCGCATCCATTGGGCGGCGGCTGCTTGTACCCTGGACGAGGCACTGGCTTGTACCCTATATGGAAAGGCAAAGATTAGGTTTCTAGTCCTCAAGCTGTCTATTACTTTGCTATCAGACCAAACCACGTCATTACATCTGGTTTAACGGCTTACTGGGTCCCTCACTAGGTTGCAAGTTCTTTAGTTTTCCTGATGGAGTAACTTAATTCTAAACAACTGGATATTTATTTAAGTCTCTCACCATCACTACACCTGTAATGACAGAGGCCGTCATCGCCACCGAACAAGTCCAGTGCGGCATTCAGGTACGTATCGATTTTGTGTATTCCATTCCGAATAGTTTTCAGAGTCATCCGCCAGTCCGGGGTTTCTGGTTCTTGTTTACAGGCAGAGACGTCTGGGAAACATCCAAAGCAAAGAAAACACAGCACAAAACCCCAAACGTAGCTGTGTTTCGGCATCGTTCACTTAACGCCGACGTCAGAAAACAGCGTTTTCTGGCGTGTTAGTTTCACTTAACAAAGTTATTCATCAGGTTGTTGTCTTTGCGGCACATCAGTCTTCCCTTTTAATTGTTTTCCTTTCCCGTCTAGATCATCAACAAGCGTTCTTGTCACCATACACATACTATGACATGTCATGGCTGTGTCGCTACTTCCGGGTTTGCCGTTGTCACGTGGCCATATGTCATATTCAGCAATGCAAAATAAAACTTAACGCTATACTGTCAAAATACATTTTTTAAATCTCATGATCTACTATAACAAAAGGTCAATAAAAACACTTATACAATATTGTTTGACGGTACCGACATGGCCTACATTAGCCACTGTAACTAGGGAAAGGAAGCGCCTACATGGATTCACGAGCACAATCCTGTTAGCCTTTATCTTTGAAAGGGACAGTTTTCTTATTTCATGCAACGTGTTCAGAGGGGTACTTGTGGGGCTGATGACTGTAAAGCTCACGTTTTTCTACAGACTACCTTTCGGGGATTGTTGCAAATGTTTAGTTCAAGAGCTGCAAAGAACATTTTCAACATGGCAACTTGTGCTCATGATAAAATGACTCATTAAAGTAACTGGACTAAACGAGTAGCATAAACGATTCATTAACATCAGCATTTGCGTATTTTATGTCATATTCACTGAGACAATAACATCCAATCCATGGTGACAATTTCACTTTATTTAAATGATTAGCCAAGCACTGAAGAAAAACATTGTTTCTTCTATAATTACTTAAATAACTTCTTTGACTTCAAACATTCAAAAATGAAAATTTACAACCATTTGTGAATAACAGTTTCACTGTTCATTCATCTTTAGTCCCAACCAGCTTCACAGTTTCCAGTGGTTATTGAAACGTTTAAGTATCAAAGCCACTCTCGTTGATCCAGTGATCTTCATCCGCAAGTTGAGATGAGCAGGAAGCTAAAACAGGCATTCTGTTCGTCTCTTTTCCCCCTTCAGCATATAGTTCTGGCTGGAAGACAGCACCTCCAGGTGCTCCTATCAACGTCTTTCAGTTATGACAAGCAGATGATGCAAAAAAGCTGTTGCTGTTTTTTTTTTGTTCCTCACACCTTATTTTTGCTTGTGCAGAATGCCTCTCCAGTTCATGCGACCTAAAGCACATAGCTTTACAATCAAGTATCTCTGTCCTCACTCTGAGGAAAACACAAGTATTGAAAGGAGAGAAAAAGAAGAAGGAGGACTTTCTACAGTGTGTTGACTGACTCAATATGATGCAACAAGGCGATTCCCAGAGTCAGGCTAGAAGTGAAGAAAAGAATTTGGCAGGAGGGAAACATTGTCGGACTTCAATAACAGAGCTACGTTACTTCATTAAGTTTTTGCTCCTAGTGTATAGACTTTTCCTTAAAAAAAAAAGAAAAAAGAAAAGAAAAAAGGATACTACACATGTATTCATATACATTAAAATGTTCTAAAAGAAGTCAGCTCATCCACCTCTAAACAAGTTATTAAGTCTGTCCAGCTCCTTGCAGTTATCCATGGTCATGAGTTCTGCCTTCTTGCGCATGCGGTCATCCCTGTACACCTTAGCAGCATAAAGCAGGTCTGTTTCTGGAAGCAGAGATAATGTTAGACAGACAGGTAGAAAGAAAGTAGGAAAGAAATATCATTTCCTTCACTCGGCCACTGTTACTTACTTGTCTGTCTCTCCTTCCAACAGTTATTTCTAACATTTGTTACATAGTCCTCTTCTACATTTTTTTCAATTTGCTGCAGAGCTGAGCCCTTAAATTCAGACTTGAAATCCCTGCTGACGTAATAGTCGACACGCAGGTTTTCTGTCTGTCTTTTTACAGTCTGGCCCGTGGACCTAGAAGAGATAGAGGTGGTAAAAACTTTACTGATCATGCTTCTGTTATACTTTCCAACATATCCAAACTTTGCTTTGATACAATTTAAGTACATTTAAATAAATAATAATTATTATTTATTTCAAATGTTACAGTACTACATCTTCCTGGTGATGCATAACTTGCAGTTTTAAGGACAGGACAGATGAGGTAACTGTAACGTGCATGCTGCAAGACCCTTTATAGGGGGGAGAGTGTACATACGGTCTGGAATAGAGGCTGTAGGGGGGCGGGGACACCATCATCTGGCTCAGTATTGACACTAAAATCAGGACCACGATGGGCATCAGTTGGATAAACATTGAGAATCCACCCTAAACATAAACACAAAATGTTAAATACTGGAACTAAACCATTAAATGTAACATAATACACATAGGACGGTCGACTTGTTCGGATGTCTGATAGCCCATCTACATACGTCTCCTCTTTCCTCTGTTCTCTCTTGCCGATAGTCCGTCTGATGGCTGTAACTTGTCCTGCCGTTTGTGAAAGTATGTGCATTTGCTGTGGACAAACCATTACGGCTGAGGTCAGATGCATACTTAGCACATGTCATACCAGATTTGTTACACCTGCCAATAAGGCTGTTATCGACAATTTAACCAGTTTATTGCTATACATGATGTAGCAATTCTGAATCTGGCAAAAAGTGAAAACAAAAGGTGTAGTCATCACAATATTGACATTTCCAGGTATAGTTTTATTACTTTTATGTGGGGAATTAGAAATGCGCATGCATTAACACGGTCTGTAATTATCTTACAGGAAGGGAAGCTGCCTCCAAAGAACATGTTGAAGAGGTCCTCAGGAGTGATATCTGCCTCGAAGCCCCTGTGGAAGTCAAAGCCGTTTCCTCGTGACTGGCTTGGACTGCTTGGCTCCTCTCCTCCCGTCAGGTCATACTGCCGCCTTTTCTCTGGGTTGCTAAGCACTGCATAAGCGTTGCCGATCTCTGGAGGGAAAAAACAAAACAGAAAAAGAGATTGCAGAAAAAACGTTTAGACCTACTTCTTTTCGTAATACAGCATATTAGTTGTTTAAATACATTATATAATCAGCCTTGAAATGAAATCTGAGTGGGCAGGTGTTTTTAAAACATGTCAAAAACATGAATTCACCCATGAAAAAACTGGACTGGCAGTAAACAGAGGGAGGACATTAACAACTCTTGACCACTGTGCAAAATTACTGCTTCTTCTAGTTTTTTCCTCAACAAAAACTAAAGGTCTATTTTCATCTAATTGAACTGTTCAGTTTTAGACAACCTTAAAATGGTTGTTTTTCCAGTACTGCAGCATTCACACAAAAATAGTAGTCTGGACAGACCTCAGGCTGCATTATTAGATTAAACTACAATCTTATTTTTAAAAAATGAATTACTTTTAAACGCTTCCGTTGCTCCAGGCGCGTGGTTTTTGTCAGGATGGAATTTGAGAGCAAGCTTCCTGTACGCTTTCTTAAGCTCATCTTCATTGGCCTCTTTGTTGACACCGAGCACTTCGTAATAGTCCTTACACTTTTTTATTCTGAAAGACAAAAGCATGAAGTTGACTGGACGAAAATTATTCATCACAAAGGCTTGCTGAGGCTTCTCTGTGGGGAAAACAAATACCAGGAGAAAAGGGTAGCTGCCTAATTCAGCACATTCAACCGCATGTTTAGCAGATTTCCAGGATCTGATTGGAGGGTAGATGTGTAGTAACTAACTGTACATATTCCTTTCTGTCTCTAGTCCTGTGGTCAAGGCGTTGAATGGTTACCTGGAATCTATTTTACACTGCTATATGTCTCTCAAAGCCCCCACTTGGGAAACTCAGAGATGTAGGGGTTCCTATAGCAACAGCTGCTGACAAACACTGCTGGGACTGTGCGCCCTCCTTTGGTCACAGGCAGAAGGCTTAACCATCAATGATAATGCCAGTTGAAGGCGTGTAAAGAAAATGGCACGTTACAAGACCAGCCAATTGAACACGGTGAGTTCTAAACAAGTCCTTTTTCACCTTTGTACACCTTCAACCTGGTCTTTAGTGAAGCCCTTAGATTCTGCAGCTCTGGATTCTTGACCGCCTTCTTCTGGCCGGCCTCCCGTCGTTTCTGATCTCTCTGCTGGTTTCCTGCGATATGCACCAGCGCCTGCCGAGCTCCCATTCTTCGTTAATGCTTCCAGCAAAGCTAAAAAAATAGAGAGAAGAAAACAGTGAGAAGTTCAAGAAAAAATAAATGGCACACGAAGAATATGAAGCGCAGGAGGTTGAGGATCAACTTGAGCATCAACTTCGTGTTGATAGCTCTGTCACTCCTATGTGTCATAAAGATGAGACTTTGCTGAAAACTCTGTTTCCTCCCTGATGTAGTACATCTGGACAGCAGGATTAGGTGGAACGTGTGTATTAAGGAGTCCGACCTAAAACCTAACACCGATGTTTCACTTTGATATTTGGCCAACAACCATCACGTTTCTGAGTGCAGAGAAGTGTTCTGTTAAATCCAGGACTGTGTCATTTTGGAACAACTAACTCCAGGGGTTAAAAATTCCGAAAATGTGTTCAAAACCAATTAAGTATCAATCTCTTACATATAAAGTAATACAGGAACAATAAAAGCGCTTTCATACACAATGAGAGGTCACTGTACTCAACATTGTGTGATGGGCTCCAGGGAGAGCAGGTCAGCTCTGAAACATCCTAATGTGATGGCACATCGCTGCTCCTTCTTAAGTAGAGCTGGAGGTAGCTACGACAGACGCACCTCCTGAACCCTTCTTACCCCACTGACATGATGAGGCCACACCATCTCGACCATTGCTCATCTCCTGCCTCTTAAGTAACAGTACTTCCTTTATTGTTAACACATCCTCAACAGACTAGAATATCCATGGAGTGTAAACTAACAACACATTTTAGGTTTAATGCCAAGCTTCCATCAACAAACACACACACAGAGGTTTTCAGCAGAAAACCTTCAGCAGAATCAGTGCTTCCCACGTTGTGAAACTCATGGTAGCATAAAGGAAACTGTGGACAAGAAGGTGAGCCATAGCCATGAGAATTTCAATATTGACAGCTATTTTCACATCATGTTTTCATGTTTCCACCAAATTGTGATGTTGATTGAAACATTGTGTGACTCGTATTAACTTGTAGCCTACACAGATTGTGAAACACACACTTCTCTCACTTTTCTCAGCATCAGCGACTATTTAATGAGAGGAGGAAAAATGTTCGTAATTACCCACTTTTTGGAAAAACGGAGCCAAACAAACAGCGTTGCAGCTATAACTGTATTCAGGAGAACATTTTGAAGAAAACACAAACAGAATACGTCCCTCAAAAAAGCAGGAGGCTAAAATGCCTGGTTTAAACTGCAAATCGGTGACAAGAAGTGTAGTCCGCTGTCCCACGCCGTGCTGTCATGGGCCAGAGTTGGTAAGTCAGTTAAGCCCCTAACGTCCTGTGGGGTGCTCAGTAAGTGCTTTAACCACACAAAGAAACATGTCGACGATGCAGGTATAAGTATAATTACTTATATAAACACGGGACTCGTGACACGTTACAATAAATGACATTTCAACCGACATGTTACAGATTAACGCCTGGCTGGTTACTGATAATCTCTGTGTAACTTCTTCTGTCTTATCATGCAATCACTCACTGAGCGGCCCTCCATCCCTTAACACCGGTTTACCTTCAGCTCGGAGACTACTGTCTCTTGGATTAGTTTATACCTCAAGGCTTTCTCCGGGCCAATCATTCAATTAAAGGATTGGCAGTTGGTTGAATGGTTTGGACATATTGGCCTAAATCCTTTCTCTGAACCCAGTTCCCTGCTCTGGACCGCCGCACATCCTGTCTGACCGCGTACAACCCTTCCACTGAAAGTGAACATTAAAGCTAATAAAGGCTAACTTGGAGGCACCTATCATAACAGACAGTTAGCATAGTGTTGCTTCGGACGACAGCTCTTAAATATAACGATTAGTTCACAAACCCAGTTGCTCTGAAAGGATAACTATTCTCCCGTTTACTTTATTTCACGACATCCTCGTTCTACGTCCTCGTAAGCTTTTGACATGGAGGCGCAGGCTAAGTTAGCGGTAAGGGGCCAACAGCTTAGCCTAACGGTGTGTGTGTAGCTACACCTGCTCCCGCGAAGTCACAATTTACTCCTGCCCTCAAGTAACCAACATTTATGACCGTTACGCTCAGTCCGCGGGCTGTCCCCCCGGAAGAAGACCGTGACAGATATAACCAGACGTCAGCTACATGCTAACACCTGTAGAGAAACAGTAGCTTTGCTCCTTTGCTAACTTTGCCAGCTCCGGCAGGCTAAACAGATGATTCGATCCCAATCGGCTTTTACCTTTTGCTCTGTCAGTCGGGTAGAGCTTCTCCGCTTTGTTTAGAAACTTCACCGCTTTCTCTTTGTCACCTGCTTCGAGAGCTTTGGTGGCTATATTCATACACTTTTCCGCCTCGTCTCTGTTGCCTTCCATCTTCTCTCCTCTTCCTCGTTCCTCTCCCGGCAGCCAGCCAGTCAGCTGAGCAGCTCGCACACCACGTGATCAACAGCCCTGACAGCGGACACTACACAGCGGAACTAACGTGCCCAGGGGGGCAGTAGATTTGACGTTTTCAACCCTCTAGTTTAATCCCATTTATTATATGTTTCACTATAGCTGAATTGCCTCAAACAGTTTGATAAGAGAAGACTCGCCTTCTGTATTACAATGCATCGTGAGAAGTGGCAACTCCATGAAATACAAGTAAAAGGAAATGGAAATGGGACTTTAAATTTTAAAAAATCATCTTACATAATTTGTAGCATTAGAAATAGATCTTAGACAACATACGAAATATTGACAAAGACCAACTCATTGTTTTTTCTGATAAACTTGAGGCCACCAGCACAATTTTAAAAAACACATTCTGTGCTTTTTCATTTTAAGGGTATTTTGCGAAATTTCCATTTCTCATGACTGAAGTCATTTTAATGACAGACCGTGTGATTTAAATGGGAGAAAAGACTAGAAAGCAGGTCATTTAATTTCTAAAGTGTCATGTTATTATATGTGCAGAGTGTGATTAGACTGTTTTGCTGTAAACATCAAGACTAGCCTTGGAAAAAGATAGACGTTTGACTAGTAGACCTGATAAAGCTCAGGATTTAAATGTCTATCTATCAATGCAGGATTTAAATGACTTGCTATACAGAATCCAGATCTTTTTTACTCTTTAGAAGGGGGCAGTGTTGAATATCTTCAAAAACATTTGGTTTGCTTGTGCATGAGTTTTAATTTGAAGTTGTAGATATAGCAACACATTATATTATATTATATTATATTATATTATATTATATTATATTATATTATATTATATTATATTATATTATATTATATTATATTATATTACCAGACTACATTTATGAGTGGAGCTTTTCTTCTTTTGTTGACCACACAAACACAAAACACAGTAGTAAAAAGACAAATGGACTTTAACATATACAACAGGAGTGCTTTATTGTCATGGGTACTAAAGCCAGACAGATTCAACAGTATGACAGAGATTTAGGGAAAATGCATGGATCATAAACTAAATGGCTCATTGTGTATTTTATTTTTAGGAAGAATCCAAAGCTGAAGACACATTTTTCTAGTGATGAGTCAATGTCTGTGCTTAAATTAAGAAAGCATAAACTTAATTAGCATCCAGACCAGTGATGATGTGTCTGACACCAGTGTCAATTCTACACTTTACATTACAGTATGTAATCTGAATAAACTCTGTTACTAAAACCACTTACATTCAGCTGAGAGCCCACGGCAAAGTCTGCCATTATCTCATTATCCTAACAGGCAAACACACAGGCCGCTTTTAACCTGTAAGGCTTTTTTTTACATTGGCTCTTATGATTTTTTTGTCTCCAAATATCCGAGATAATGAAGATTTTGCCACTTGTTATTTCCAAAGCAACATTATTTTGACGTTAAGGGCCATCTCTAGGGACCATTTCAGCCCTGGTTTTACCAGCTTTCACTGTGGGCAAATGCTACAGACAGTCGTGTAAATTCTGACTATGGCCAGCTGACCAGCTTACTGCATAATTTATGTGGCTGCCAGTAAGTGTGAAGCTCTCATGCTATTTATCAGTAACTTATTCAATCGCTGTCAATTTACCATCTGCAGTCTGCGTTTGTGTTTTTTAAATGTGGGTCATTTGTTTTTTCCCAGTTTGTGATATATGTTAAGATAGTTTAATCCGTCAGTGCCCCCATTAGAAATGCCCCCCGAATCTTTGGACAGAGAACACTACCCATTTTCACATTTTGTATCCTAATTTTTATTTAATAAATTTTTTGGTACATTTTTCATATAAAAGAACTTAAAGTTACCAACCGTCACCATATCCAAAGAGTAGTCGCTGTGAAGTAGTTTTGAAAGCAGCTGCATGTGAAGTGCAAACATAGTAACCACTAATGTGAAAATAACCAAAGAGAGTGTTAGTAACACAAATAATCAAAATGTAACCCTAACAACACAGCTGTAATTGGCTACTCTGAGTAGGTGATGTAATGCTCTAAACCCAACCTGTAAGGGTTGAACATTTTAGTAAAGTCTTGCCATTTCATTGTCTGGGCTCAGCTTAGAAGCAGGAAACCGTTATGTGGAATGCTGGTCTCCAGCTTTCGTCCCACATTTGAGAACACACAAATGATTGACAGCACTTAAAATGTCTACACCATCTTTCCTACCATTTTATGACTATTTCTTATGACTTTAAGCATCTTCTCTGTTTTCAGCTATTCATATGAGCCACATTGGCCCTGTGCTACGGGTCCCATCTTGTGGTATATACAAAAAAATTAGGTGTGGGATTTGGGGGCGGGGGGGTTTAAGTGCTATCAAAGCAGAAAGCTGCAAATCAGGTGGAGACTCTCTCCATTGCTTTTGCTTTAAGCTGGTGTACGTGATGGAGGAAGTTTCGCTTCAAAAGAACCCATAGTGTTGAGAGCTGCATGGATGCGGAAGTGTAGCCTTGACTCCATACTGTAGTCTTTGTAGTTCATCCTGTAGATTGAAAAAAAAAAAAACAACTCACATGTGTTAACCATTTGTATGACATACATAAATATACACTGGATACATGTAGTATCATGGTGTAGACAGAAAACCACAGGTTAACTGGGTCAGACACTTACTTGGCATTTTCGATTACTGTGATGGCCTTGCTGATGTCGCCTCTTTGCTTGTGTAAAAGGCCCAGCTCATACATAGTGTATGGCACCAGATAGTCATCATGTTTGATCTCACTTTCACTGCAGAAAATGAATTAAAAGTATTTGTACAGGTTTTCTACAACTTGTAGAAACAATCCCCAAATTGTTCTTGGCTGCTATGCTGGCATTTTTTCCCCAAACTGGACAGGAACAGGTGCTGAATAGGGACATGCTCCCTCTCTACAGCTGTGTGTATTACAGTGGTTTTAAGAGGACCTCACCTGGAAATGACATGATTGAAGCAGTTCTCGGCCTGGACCAGGCACCCCAGCTGTCTTAGACACAGGCCCTTCAGCAGCTGGATAACACACTGGTCATCTATGTAGTATTCTGATTTGGTTGCAAGTTTTTTCAGAATTTTAGTTTAATATTTCTTCTGAAAGTTCTCAATTTTGAAGTTGCATTGTTGTCTCACCTGAATCCTGTGTGAGCTGCTCCTCTGCTTTTTCGAGAGTGGACAAGATGTTTTTGGTTAGCTCAGGCCTCTTGCCCACGACTGTGAAGCCATTCCAGACATACATCATTTCCTGTTGGAGATAGATATCAGTTTAAAAGATAATTCTATTTTTTTCACAAAAAAAGTGGGTGCCTGTGTTCTCACCAAAGCAGGGACAACAAGTTTCACAGAGTTGGGCGCCGAGTATCTCTGAGCCTTCTTTGCAGCGAACTTCTCAGTTGGTATCGATTTCCCTGCAATTCTTAATCTGACACCATCCACTTCCCTTAAAAAAAGGAAGAACAATTCACATTTTTTGCTTCTCAGTGTGAAAATGTCTGACCAGAGAACAGTAGTGGTGACCCATTCTTAGTGTTTTACTCACCTGAATAATGCCTCTATGTTTTCTCCCAGTTTAGCCACCTCTTCTTCTGGAAGCATGCTCAAGATAGCAGCTTTTTGAAACACATAGGTAGCCTAGATGAAAAGAAAATAGAGGCTGTTATAAGCAAAGACCCTAGTCATGAACACATGACTAACGAGGAGACTGTTACCTACCTGGGACCATTTGTTCTCCTTGCAGAGCAGATTAGCGTACCGATACGCCTCCATCCAGTTTTGTTCAAAGGAATAGGCCCACATCAGCTCCCAGTAGCATAGATGGTGAATCTGTCTCCACTCCTCCTGTGTTGCAATACATGCCAGGAATTTCTCCTGAGCCTGCAGAGAAACCCAGACCCAAACGTAGTTGTTTTTTTTAAACAGAATGAGTTAAATTGGCATGACATACATATTCTTAGACAATATGAGCACTTACAAATGTGAAGTTTCCCTTAAGAACAGCAATTCTTGCAGTGTAGAAAAGCATAAGGGCACCCTGTGGACAAAAATAACATAATAAAATAGCAATTTTGCTAATGAGAAATCAAAATGCTAATAGCTGAATTGGTCAATATCAGCACCACTCACATTGGGGAACTTTTCAGCATAGGGTTTTAGCAAGGCCTCAGCCTCGGTTAGGTTTCCATCGCCAATCCCTAAAAGATTATTCATTATCATAGATGCACCCTACAAACTTCAATGGTGCTAGAACGGTCTGCTCACCCAGTATGATTGTCGTGTAGAGATGAAACATCAGCAGAGTCAAAGTGCTGAGGATAGATCGCAGGCTCTGGCTCGCTGCTCCATCCCTCAACTCGGACAAACCCAGTTCCTATGGCAAATTGTCTATTAAAATGCTATTTTATCAGTACAGATACCACAAAAATGACATAAGGTCTGTGCGTCACCAACTCTGTCTCCAGAGAAGCCAAGAAACTCCATAAGTCTGAGGACTCTTGATGGAAGAAGAGACAGCATCTGAAAACAGATAACACATGCAGAAGTTTAGATTTAATCATTTAATCAGAAGTCAAAACAACATTTCTGAGCCAAAAAGTGCACAATTATTCTTTAAATTCACAAATAACAACTGAATCATTTATAAAATTCTTGGTCTTGAATTCTAATTTGGGAAGCAGGAACCCCTTAACCTCATTGATTAAGCTTAATAGGTTGAACAGTCTAATAGTTGCGTTTCTGTAGGACCAGATTGCTGTGGGACTTCCTCAAATGCATTAAAAACAAATCCTAATCCATCTGCAAATTTAAATGCATGTCATCATTTTAAAAAAATGTTTGGTGTACTGTTCTCACCAGATTAAACGATCCAACGCCCATGCTGACCCCACCCCGGAAATGAATGTGAGTATTCTTCTTTTTGTCCACATCACTGATGGAATTTTCCATGGCCTGGCAGTTCCTGGTTTGGAGAAATACCATCTTAATATTCATCTCATTGCACCGAAGTCAGAAAATATTTTTCTCTGCTCAACTGTCACAGAAGTAAAATGCCCTCAACATACTTACTTGTATATCAGATAACTATGCCGCATTCCCATTCCGCCTTTGATGAAGCTGATTATACTTTCATCCAGGAATGTCAGTGCAGCTTTCAGCATCAAAACTTCAGCATAGCATAGCTCCGCATGCATCTCCTCTGTCAGGGAGAAAAAGAAACGATGAGCCATTAAGCCCATCTCATATCAAAAGTAAGCAAAACCAATCAGAAGGCAACAGCTCACTCACCTTCCGTCAGTCTGTCATCTGATTGTCCGTGCCACAGGCTGGCCAAGGTTTCCATAATTCCAGTTTTCTTCCTAAACCTAAATTAAAAACATAACTTTTTGTCAAGAAAAAATAACTAATAATGATTTAAAATTTTGGAAAATAGATAAAAAGAGTTATTATAAAACTGTAATTGAACCTCAGACATATAATCATGTGTATGCAAAATGATCATTACTGTTAATGTAAAAAGTGTTCTTTTGTGCACAAATTTGTAACTATTGAGCCATTTGATACCTCTGGCAGGTGTGCAGGGATTCCCTCAGGGATGTCATGGCAGCATCCATGTCCTTTGGGTCAAAGGTCATAGCAGCTTGCATTACCAGGATGCTGCTGAAGCCCATAGCATGATACATACTGTGACTCTTCCTAAAGGAAAGAAATGCAGCCAACTTCACATACAGTCAGAAAACTGGGTAAAGTGAGTCATGCAAAGGTTTCTTTATTTTGAATTTTTTTTGTCTTCCCCACATAAAAATAGAAACGCTTGCATAGACATGTTGCCTTTTATATATCCATCCATTTCCTATACACTTATTCCTAGTGAGGTCATGTGAGGACCCTAGGGTACAAACACACACATATATATAAACATATACACTTGAATCCTTGAATTAAAAATATCTGTACATTTGTGTAAATTAATGTTAATTAAACTAACCTAACTAACCTGGAAAACAAGAGCTGAAGCATGTAGTTGCTGATGCTAAAGCTTTAATGAACGTAGAGATAAACCTTTCAATGACAGGCCACCTGGGGCTCTGCCACAGGTCGTGATTGGTCTTTAAGAACAACTGAATAAAACTGAAATATTGTCCGCTAGTAGATCTCCTTAATCTCACTATTTCATCCTCCATTGAAGAAACACAGTGGCAGGATTTCAGGGAAGATTTGTCCAGCACACACAGGAGTGGTCCCATTAGGGGAGAAGTGTCCAACCAGAAAAAGAAGGAATGTTCTCTCAGAGCTGGAGCTGAGCTACCTCAGGCAGGACCTTCTTCATAGTAAGTAAGGTGAAAGATGAACATAGGGATTGGGGCTTTGTCTTCAGTAATGAGGACACTGCTACAGTCTTTAGTGGTAACATGAATGGATTTCCCTCTGATGGCAGCTGGGTTCAGTTTCAGTGACAGGCTGAAGAGTTAGAAAATCCAGACGGAGCAAAGGGCAGCCTGACTTTCTTTTAAGACGTAATAAAATGTCAATATTACCACAACCTTAAATTCAGTTAAATGTCCTGATTTGGAGAACCTTTCAGAAAAATTTGCTTTATTTCTCAAACACCAGGATACAAAAAGTGGGGAACAAAGCATAAGGTTTCAACCCCCCCATTAATTATTGTTTCACTGCTCAGGGGTCTTACCTGGGCTTTAAAACTGCCAAAGCATCCGCAAACCTGTTGTTCAGAAAGAGATGCAGGGCAGCGGTGCATTCCTCCAGCGTCGTCTCCAAATCCATCTGAGGGTATCTGAATTGGAGCATGAAATTTGAAAATATTGATACCACAAAAAACAAAGAAAAGTGTGTGATAGAAGAGGCACATGAGACTGTTGCATCTGTAAGCTTCTGCTGTTCTGAAATTTTAAAACAGTACAACAAAACAAAAACAAATGTCAAATTATATATTGAAAATTAAATGTATTATATGTAATATCAGTCCCCACTGGAAACCATTTAGCAGATTAGGCATATTTTTGTCACAAAACTTACTTAAAGCTTGTTATTGCTTTATTACATTGATACTCACACTTCATCTTCACTGATATGATCCAAGTCCACCTGAAAGAAAAGGAGAATCTAAACTTTGAGTCATACCTTAAAAAAAACATTCAGCACTTTTTCATCACTGGCATAATACAAAATAAATTAAATTAAATTAAAAAAAAGAACTCAAAGCCGCCAAAAAGCTGTCAATCATGCATGAATTGGAATCTTGTGATCCAATAAATACAAAACTACAGTCATCAGTGCGATGCTTTCGTTCTAACCTGCTAATCAAATATTAAGTTCTTAGGAGAAGGGATTTCTCCAATGAAAAAGATTCCACTACGTTAACCAACGTTAATCAAACTTTTACATTTGAATATCAGCATAATTCTTCTGTTTAAGATTTTCTTATATATACCCAATTGTTATATAGCTTTCCCATGTCAATAAAAAATATTTGAAGTTGCTATTATAAGAAATATTAAACCAGACTTACCTGTGGCAAGGAAATGTTTTTCGTCTCCATTGGATTTTTTTGTCTGATGCTGAGTGATGATAGAGGAGTTTTGCAGGCAGTCCTACTCTTTTAGCACTCTCTTGCTAAGCCTTAAACATTCAGACAGAGAAAATAACAAGTCCTCTGCTTCTTCTTATAACGTGAGAATTCGGGAGTGGCCTTGATGTAGTTCAGCCCACAGGACGCTTTTCTTTATCATGACTGTTTTCTCCTCAGGGTCACGTCTGCTGTTTGGGAGCAATCCAAATTTTAGAAAGATAAACTCTCTGTAAAGCCTCGAGCTCTTTTTTTTCTTTTTTCTTAGAATGGAAAACAAAATTTGATTGAATTTAGATAACAGTGTGAAATCATTTACCCAGCTGCTTGAATTTTGAGATATTTTCTTAAGAGTGAAAATGGTATTTAGAGCTGTCTCCATAGATTACCCCCCTCCTTCTTTTTGATCAATGATGGCTGTGAAATATGTTTTTGTGTAGATTTAATGCCTTCAAATAGCTTTTGATGGGATCACTGAATGTGATAGAAAATGTGTAATCTAGTGAATGTGTTGGGGCCACTGGGTGGCCTGCATTAACCCAGAGTGTCTCCGTACTTTTCTCCTTCCGGGCAGGGCAAATCCAGCTGTTTCCAATGGCTGCACTCAGGAGGCAGTATTTAGAGGGACGTGTTCCCTGAGGCTGACACCAGTTGGTTAATTCCCATGCAGTTGGTAATTTACCATTTAGCGCCACAGCTCCATAGAATATCTTTGTCCAAGTGAAAACTCAGCGTTGCCTCTAAGTCCTCTTTGCAGTTTTTGCTTTCCTCCCTGGATTATTTGCCTGCCCGTCCACCCTCCGTCACGTTCTAGATCAGGATCTTCCCAATTCCTCCTGTTGCTTAACCCTCCGTCTCCACACCTCCACGCCGGTCATCTCTCGCTCAGAGTGAAAATAAAAACTTTTGTCTTCACTCACTTTGTCTGGATAGTAATTTGTCCCCTGAGTCAGTCACTCGGTCATGACAGCATGTATATGTATATTACTACTGACATTTAGCTAAGTCTGTCTCCAAAAGTTTTTTGAGCATCACAAGCAGAGAGAATGTCTTTTAAAAGTTAAACTGTTAAATAAGGAGAGTCAAGATTTTTTTTTTTCTTGAAATCTTGAATACACTTGCCCAGTGGCCTATTTATTTGTCTGTGTACTGCTATGTAAAAATTGTTTAGTGGTAGGTACAGTTACCGGACAGCAATAGGGTTCCAATCCCAGCTATCCGATGCAATTGAACTATGCATGTGTTCTCGCTGGGTACTCGGCTTTCCTCCCACAGACCAAAAACTTTCATGTTAGTTGGCAAACAGACCTTAGGAGGGAGTTTGCATGTCTCTGTTTGAATGAAAGGTGCACCTGCCCCTGCCCAGTGACAGCTGGAATGACCACCAGTCCGCCCTGCTGTTGGTAAAAGAGCTAAAGTAGCTTAAAGAATCTTAACTAAGAATACGAAAAAAAGAAAGTACTCTAAATGTACAATTCAATGTATTATTCAGGGCAGAATACCCTGAACGTTACCACATGGGGTCATTCAACTATGACAGCATAGTGGGAGTGTTGTCTAGTTGCCACCATTTCTGCCTTTCTGCACACATGTGACGTCCTGGCTTAAATTATTTCTGGTGGTTTTGTCATCTCTTCTTCTGTATTACTCTCTGACGTGAACCGATGGAAAGTTGTAGCCTGCAGTAAAGTCTGCAAGAGAGAGGACTGTTGATAGCTTGACAAAAAAAAAGATAGGAAAGAGGTGGAGGATGTATTCCTGCGTACCCAGCTTCATTACTGCCCATATTTTCTAGCCTCCTCTGTTTTTGTTGACACCTTTTTGAACAAGAACTTCGTGATTTGTCAGATTTGCCTCCAATCAACATAGTCAATACCATGACTTATTTAGATTTTTTGCCTATAAAGATGATTCTTTATATACCACAGTAAAGAGGTAGCCTTCTCGAAAACATCCAATAAATAGTGTACATTTAGTGAACGTTCTCAAAAGGTTCAGCCGAGGTTATTTTGAGGTTCATCATTTTCACAGTACCCTCAGGGCATGTCCTCTGACTGGAAATGGGACAAAGTAATTGATTGGAAACTGGAAAGAGAGGCTATGTAGTCATGAGGTGAATGGGATTATGCATTTTAAGAGAATGTATTATTCAAGTTTTAAACGAGGACACCGAGATGTGAAGATGTGAAGGAAGTCCTGAGCCAGAGAAAGATGGATAAAAGACAACGTACAAAACCACTGAAACGTGTACAATTTATTTATCTTTTTTGGGTCAATCTCCTATGAAGAAAAGGGAAAATCATGCACAGTCTCATAAATTAACATGAGGAACAACCATAATATCAACAAGGTTGAAAAACCTTCAATTATGCCAGGCCACATGCTCGTGGACATGCATATTGCTTTTAATTTTACAGAAGGTTATGGTTGAGACAGGGGGTGAGGATCCAGGCACAGTGTCGAGTGAAGAAAAAGAAAGAAAAAGCTTTAAAAAATGTTTGTTTATCATAAAGACCAACAAAAAGCAATGGAGTGTCAAATTTTAAAGCTAGAAACAAGTTTTAGAAAATAAAATAACATAGAACTAACATAAAAACAGGGATGGAACAATGTGCTTAACTTATGTTGCTTTTAATGTAAATTATCATAGCTTTTTTACTTTTATGTGATTGCAGTTTTTTTTTTTTTTTTTTTTTTTTAAACACCCACACATATAAAAAAAAGACTATGACTTTGATTTCACCCGTGTATTTTCCCTGGTTTTTTTTTAGCATGGCTTTTCGTTTAATCGTGGCAAAATAAGGTTTGAAAACTACATTGGCCATGATGCTCATGTTGAGCTCGTGTTCTTCTTCTTCTGTGGTGTTCCCGTCACAGTCTGCTAACATGGCGGCGTCCCAACAGCCGACGGACTCAACCGCGAGCATTCCTGACTATGAATATCCTGACGTCAACACGAAGCCCTTTCACATCGGCTCCTTCAGAGAACAGTGGTTGAGAAGACTGAGTCCAAACGACTATTCCTTCGAAGAGGAGGACAAAGACACCTTTGATGCTAACTTCGCCGCAGAGATGGGCGTCGATGCGGAGACCATGGCTCAGCTGAAATCCGTCTGCAGGTATTCAGACGTTCAGTTACAGTTACTAGCTTGAAAAATCAGAAAGGTTCTTTTGGGTTATGTCTGCCATTGTTATCTTACACGTGCAATTAACTTGATACGACAAAAAGTCTTATTTTCCCATTAGAATCTGGAAGCTAGCTGGCCATTGGTTGGTGGTTCTTTTTAATTAATTTTCTTCTGATCTTCACGCTGCTCTTGCTGAGCCTGTGTTAAACTATTATTCATTTAGAAGTCAGACCAATTCGTGGATCAAGCCAAATCACATCATTATCTTGTGAAGGGATCTTTTTGATTAGATTTTTATCAGCTGGTTTACATTGTTTCCAGTTAATTCTCTTATACAATCAGTTTGTTTTGGAGAGTGTCCAAACGGTTCCTTAGGTCAGACTTCTCTCTCCTCTGGATGCATTACTTCCCTTAATTTATCAGAGGGGATATCTCACTGCCTTTTGGAACAGTTTTGTAACAGTTTAGCAACAGTTCATGTTCAAAGAATTTCCTTAATCATAGGGTCAAACTAAGGGGAAATGTTGAAAAAAGAACCTTAATGAAAAAGTTCAGGGTTGTTTTACTCTATATTAGTTCATCTTAAATCCTACATTTACATGCTCTCTTAAACTGGGCACAGCTATTTACACAATGTATTGGTTTCTTTTATTGTGCACTTCTTTTTTGTCCATATATGTGAGTTAATTCTTCTGTCCCTCCAAGTGTGGAGTCCCTCCGTTGCTATCCTGAAGATCAGAAGCTGGACCCGGACGTTGTGCCTCCAGACTCCACTCTGAAAACGCTAATGTATGAGCTCTCTCTCTCGGGATAACGCCAGCCACTCCGCTTCAGTGTCTCCACGGGTCTGACTTTTTGGGTTTTCTCAACAGACAGAGAAAAAAGAAGCAAGATCACAAAGCTTCTCTAAAAATGCCAAAGAACAGACACGACCTGTATGCCGATGAACTGGTGGGTGACTACTGTTGTAGTTTTACGAGAGCTTTTAACAAAGCAGGTGTCGGAGGACCACTGTGCTGTCCCTGGTGTCATTATGTGGCTCTGTGTGGTCTCCAGGAGCGTTTAACAGTCGGCCGGACACCAGAAGAAAGCGATGACATGATCCCAGAAGGCGAAGTCATCCTCTCCATCAACATCTACTACCCATCTATCTTTGAGAAAGTGAGCATTCGGCCGTCTTTTTGTGGAAGGGCCTCAGGCCCTCTGCTTCACGCACACTCTCATTCCTCCATGTCGCCTTTGTGGAGCTGACGTTTTCTGTCAAATCTCCAAAGTTTTACTACATCAGACCCCACGTGACCCTGCTGATGACCGGCAGCCACAAACTGACCGAGCTCCGGGACGCTATTTGCTGCGTCAGCGACTTGCAAGTGTGCGGCGAGTTCAGCCGGACTCCGGACATGGCCCCGGACTTCATCAGCAAAGTAACGGCTCGCAGTTTCTGCGCAACAGCACGGCTTATTTCACAAGAAAGAAGCGTCTTTCTGCAAAACTGAGCTAACGATTTGAATGTGTTCCGTTTCAGGATCATTTTAAGTCGGCCTTCTTTTTCTTCGAAGGAGTTTTCTACAACGACATGCGGTTTCCTGAGTGCCAGGATATCAGCACGTGAGTTTTAACACCAGAGTGAGATCTTTGGTCTCAGGCTGGCGACGGCCTGTGAGCGAGCCATACATGTGTCCAAAAAGTGCTGGCAAATGAATCGGAACTTGGGTGACCCGTGTCTTTTCTTTTGTTTGTGGTCTAGGACGACTATAGAATGGGCCAAGTCCCGCAACTTCCCGACATACAGCCAGGCCAAGATGGAGGACGTGTGTTTCAAGGACCTGACAGTGAAAGTTGGATTCCCATACCTCTACTGTCACCAGGGAGACTGTGAACACCTCATCATCATCACAGATGTCAGGTCAGTGCTTCTCTGGTTTGTCCGCTGTCCTGCTTGTCAGTGATCTGGGTGTCCAAAGCCAAACTTATCTGAGCCTTCTGATTAAGCTAGTGACCGCTTGCAAATTGTTAAAACAAATTATCTTAATCTGATGAAAATGAGATTGGCTTGGATGCATAGAAACAATGCTGTTAAAAGGCTAGGAAGTAAGAGTTTCTCCAAACTAGAACAACACTAGGATCACCATCTTGGGTTCATTCAAGGCAAATATGTACTCAGCCATACTGACCCAGCTGTGGACGGCGGGTTCAGATCCGGCTCTGATCACCGCTGTGTAAAGGTGATTCCCCTCAGGAGCCGAACAGCCACACAAACGCACATGAAAGCAGCCTCACAGATGCAAACCACAAATCTCTACCACTGATCTCTAAGAACAGCGTGTTCTCTCCCACCTCACAGACTGGCCCATAAGAGCGACTGCTTGGATAAGAAGCTGTACCCACTCCTCACACACAAACACAGGATTGTTACCCAGAAGTGTGCCGTCTGTCACGTCTTCATTGCCAGGTGGGTGACGGGGGGGGGTGCCTTACAGCTGTGGCATGCTTAACTGACCTAACCCTAACCGATCACTTATGACAACGTCCGATCTGTTTTTAGATGGTATACCACCAACGACCAGTTCGCCCCCTGTGACCCGTGTCTTTTCTGTGACAAATGCTTCCGGATGCTGCACTACGATGCAGATGGCAACAAACTGGGAGAGTTTTTGGCTTATCCGTACGTCGACCGGGGAGCATTCAACTGACATTCTCCATGAAAGGCTTAAAACTGTATAATACAGTTAGTTACTTTTATATTTCAGAAAGAAATGATTTGATTCTCTTGTAATGTTTTGCGTTTCTGTTTCAGAGAAACACTTTTCTTGAATAAAAAAAAAACTTGTTTATACTTAAGTAGAAGAAAATCCACTTGACTTGGGGGGGCTTTGCTGTGGTCTGATCCAGTGGACATTTTCATTAAAAATTCTGGTACCTGATTTGGGCACATCACCAGTTCCCACCTTCTTAAAAAATAAAAAATGCTAATTGAAATTCTTTGATCTGCTGTTTAGAGAGTTGAATCCCCACCAGAGCGCCATGAGTTCCAAAGACTTTTCCTAGTAAAAAAAGCTGTTATAACCCTACCAGGAATTCTTAAGTAATAAAAGGACAGGACAGACAGTTGTACTCTAGCTACCACTTTATTATTAGATGGTGACACAGGTCATCGAACAGGCACAAAAATACTCTTATTTACATCTATGTTAAAAGAAAACATAAAACAGTCAGACATGGGTGAAAATAAGGCAGCTTCTCAGCTAAAGCAACTTTGGCAAGCACTGTGCATCTGAAGAGAGCATCTATGAAACATGCGTTACTGTCTTACAGCTACTATTTAGACATTTAACTAGTTTCAGCGAGCAAGAAAAAAGAAAAGCTGGTTACTTCTCAACCACTGACTTCAGCTGGTACTAAACCAAAAAAAAAAAAAGAACAAGGTGGTGCAAAGCTCGTTTCTGAGAGCGCGCTCATTAAGCTCAATGTTCAGGCTGCAGCTTTATGGGTTCTTCCTCTGCATCGGCATGAACTCGACATGAAACGGTGCAGGTAGCATAAGGTGTCTGGAGGGAGGCTTACATCAAGTACAAAAATAGAATGTGCAGTCTGTCATTTGGAGGAGGGGGGGTGTACTGAAACCTCCAAGCAGCAATACTGATAAAAATGGTCACTGAACTGGAACCTAGTTTTTACAAAAGGTTGTGTTCATACAGCAGCAAATCTGTCGAAGCTTGTGGAATGCTCAAGTGGACTCCTCCGGAGCTTTTGGGGCACTAAAGACAAACAAAACAGATCAGAGACTCAACGCTGAAATCATTTGAAATATTAGAAAAACCAGAGTTAGAGAAAAAGCTTTCCAGATGCATGCTTTTTTCCCCCCCAACCAAACTCTTGATATTCAGTTCAAGTGTCACATTATTAAGGCTGCTGCACAGATCATTGTTAGGGTTAACACATTTTTCCAACTAAAAATGTAGAACACCCAACCGGTGTTCTGTCTCTAATTGCAGCGCCTGATAAGACCTGATTTGGCGTGATGGGGGAGGAGCCGACAGGTGTGTGGGGGGTTGTGGGAACTACCTGGGATTTTCTCCTGCAGAGGCATCTTCCAGCTGCTTGTCCCTCTCCAGCTCCTGCTTCTTCTCTGCGGGGCTGATGTCACCGTTGGTCAGCTTGTCTTTAGGGTGTCAGAGAATCACACGCACAGTCAGACACAACGTCATTGTTCGGTCTGAGCTGCTGCAGAGGGGAGCGCTCACAGGGACATGTGTTATCACATGCACCACTCCAGACCTACTGAAATGAATAGGATTTTCCATCCATTCGATATGCTTTACTCATAAAAAGGAGAGACCTTTCACGGATGCACCGATTTTGGTATTCAGAGTATTGACGAGCGAGGATGCGGCTGAAAATCTAATAACAGTCCGTTTCTGCTGAGAAGGCCAACCACAAAGATCGTATGACATCCCCCTGGAAAGGAAAGGAACGGAAACCGACTGCAGGCTGGGAATCAATACGTCTATTCTCTGGTCGGCCGTCATATGCAACTTCTGGTCTAAATGGACTTAATTACCAGCAGAGGTTCTTTATGACGCAACAATACCACCTGACCTGAGAATTTCCCTCTCCCACAACTCAAAAAGTCAAAGTAAGGTCCCCTGCAGCTAAAATACTCAAACTAGCTCATTCTAACAACGATGACTAGTTTTACTAGAAAACTGTACAACAGTTCATCTGGATCACACCAACGCTACTGTATGTTTTAACCCATAAGACCCTTTTTTCCATAAAGAGAAATGATCTTTTAGTATTATTTTATTGTCATCTCTCAGTGTGGTCCACAAAATAAGAGCTCAATGTGTTAGCATGGCCTCCAAATTACACGGACACCAAATCATATAAAAAAGGAAACAAAAACAGTCCATCTTGCGGCTGAATGGCCGCAGACAGAGCGGACTAAAAGCTGAGCAGAATCCAAAAAGAACAGTACCTCCTCCGTTTTCTTTAACTTGTTCAACTCTCTTCAGAGCTCCTTTCTTGGCCTCTTCGTGCTGACGCTGTTCAGCCAAAGACTTGTTGAGCACCTGGCTGAGCACGCAGTCGCCTTCTCCAACCAGAAACATGCTCTTAAACTTGTTGTACAACATGGTGGCCTTGTCCATGATGTCCTGGTTGGCCTTGAATCTGCGGATCTTCAATGTGAATAAAGAAAAAACGGGGGACGGCTTGAATAATGTCTCATTGATTAGGAAAAAACAAACAAACCCATTCGGCCTCAGTCTTACCTTCTTGAGTGTTGCTATGAGTTCACTGTGTTTCTGCAGGTGCTGGGTTGTGACTTGAAGAGCACTTATCTCATCTAAAGCGTCCAGGCACTTCTTTACATCCTGGTGAGGTCAAGGATGGCATAGACCACGATTCAAAGTGGAATCAATGAGAAGGCAAGTTTACTTTTAGAAAAAGCTGTGATTATGCAACTATGATTGTTTTTAGGTGCCAAAGTCAGTGAGATTTATAAAGAAAAAAAAACTAAACAAGACTTCACAAACAACTTCACATGGCTTGATCTATAGCAAAATCTCTAGAATGAAGATTTCTATAAATATCATTAAGCCAAGTTGTCTGTGCCTTATTAAATTTAACCAACATGTGGACTAACTTAGTTTGAAAGCAGTGGCCTAAGCACACTGATCCCCTCCAACAGCAGAGCACCTTTATATTCTACCTCACTTAATGTCTTGCCTAAAGAACACTATCTGACGTAGGTCTGAGTAGCGCTGACTGTGACTGCTGTCGGGGGCGTAGCACTGCCATGCTGAAATAATCATTGTCTTTGTTTGGTCACTGCATAAGGGAAAAACTAGACAGGAAAGAGGAAATGGTTGCTGTTGAATGGTGTAACAGTGATGGGCAGAACTTACAGGGTTGTCGATTTTCAGGGAGATCTTGATTTCACTGTGGAGTCGCTGCAGTTTAAAGTCGGTTGACATTTCTGAGTAATTAGCAAAAAAACAAAAACAGTTCTTAGACCTTTAAAAAAGGCATCATACATCGGTAAACAGTTACAATATATAATCTGTTAACTGATTAAGAATCAGTTTCAATCATTGCCTTGGGGCTTTAATTTCCTGCTAATATTCACCTTTTTTTTTGGCTCCGGCCTCATTTTTCTTTGGATCGTCTTTCGTTGGACTGGAAAACCATAAGAACAAACGAAAGTAAGAGATCTGCTGAATGTATCGGCATTGAACTTTCCATTTAGTTTCTGTCAGGTCAGCCTACAAATAAAAATGTAAACAGTTCCTCTCAACATATATATTATTCCATTTTAATTTCATAGTATTATTATCTCTGTATACAAATGTAATGAGCTTTGTAGAAAAATACATGGTCATTTTTTTCTCTGAACACATCATCTTATGGAAACATACTCAATCCATTAATCAACATTAATTTAAAAAAAAAAAAGAAGATAGAAAGCCATTTAAGTGGACACCGAATGACTGTTTTTTCCCCTTTCGAGCCGAGTACTGTTTTCTTAGTCTTGCTGATACTTCCGAGCAGGTTCCTGTCCCACACTCTTCAAAGCTACCGTTTCCTGTACCCCGACTCCTGCATCCTTAGTCAGTACTCAACCCAGGCTGGGAAGGACAGCTGAATCTGAGGCGTGACACCTGCACTCTTCCCTACAACCGAGCTGCTGGTTGTGATGGTGGGAGCGCGGTAACGGGGGTGGGGGCAGAGTGCAGGATGCTCTGATGATTGATGTGCTGTTCACACTGGTGCAGGGCCCTGAGGGTCTTGTACTGATGAGCCCATTAAAAACAGATCCAGATTGTCCGAGCGGCCCCCCTGCTGTTGGTGCTGCTCTTTGATGCTGGAGCCTCTGATATGACTTTGATGTTGTTGAAGTTTATTCTCCAGCTAATGTTTGTACAAGTTTCCGTGTGTCCCCCAGTTCCTAAGTTCACAGCTAATCATTTTCATCTCCAATTTCTTATAACACCTGCAGGCTCTCTTCTTTCCATTCAGTGCTGATCCATATCTGATCTTTGGGGACATGGCGTGCACTCTGTCCGGGGAGGTGAATTTCATACTGCCCCATATGGTTTTTATACACCTTGTGTAGACGGCATTCAGTTAAAATGCTTGGAATCAACTCCGAGCTCTTCACCAGCTTAACTAATAAAGACAGATGTGACCTTTCACCCATGCACCCGCCCCTCCCGAGTGGACGGCTGAAGTAAAAGCGCATAAAAACGAGATCGACTCTTCTGGGAAACTTACTCTCTTGATTCATCTGCCTTCCGTCTGCGCATATCTTTGTCCGTTTCTGTAGTTTGTAGCTTCTTTCTGCTTTTGTTTTTCTGCGATCAAAGAATATATATATTTTTTAAAAAGTCACGTGCCTGAAGACAACAAGTGTTAGACTCAATGTCTGAGTCTCAGAGATGAGAAAGAGCGGAGCCTTGCCTCGTCATCGTCGGAGCCAGAGGAGCTGTCTTCCTTGGAGAGCTTTTTCTTCTTGACCTCAGGGTCCTTCGACTCGACTTCCCTGCCCTTACTATCTTCCCTTTTCTTTCTCTTTTCTTCCTCTCCACTCTGAAGCTTGTCCTCCGGTGGCCTCTTCCTCTTCTTCTCAGCGTCACCAGTGTCCCTAACGGGGAGGCAAAGGGTGCTTCTGTCCATCAGCTGGTCGGGCTGCTTGTAGCCCTAATACCTGCTGAATGGCTGATCAGTGGTTAACAAACTTGTGTTCACAGAAAAGGTATGTTTGGACTATTTACCATAGCCGTGTTTTTACAACAGCAAATCACTTTAGACAGCCAAACTTAAAGGTAGTACCCTGAAAGGAGGTTAGAACTTTTTCACCAGATTTTCCCACATGACATCATATAACACATACATTTCATTTCCAGAGCCGTGTTGGTCCTGCTGCTGAAGCAAAAGCAGCTTCTCGCTTTTCGGCTTCCTGCCTCTTCGTTTAGGAGCTTCACCACCTGATCGCAGGGATGGAAATATGAACATAGATTACAAACTCTTTTTATTGAAATGTCCCACACTATTAATAGCTGCAAAGACTTGATCCATTCTCCCATTGGATGTTATGTGTCCACCTCCTGCTGGGTCCATTACAGGTGACACCGCTTGGGACCTGCTTCTGCCCTCTGACTGGATCTGGGCCACAATCTGAGCAATAGGTACCAAATATTTAGGGCACACATCCTACCTGAGGGGCTGACGGGACTGGCTGGTACTTCATCTTTTTCATTCTCCTGGTCTACATCACTCTGGAAGGGGAATGAAAATGAAAAAAAAAAAAATGCAGTACTGTTTTGATTATTCCTTAAAAATGTACAGGTTTCCTATTATGTAGAGAAATGAATGATTGCATCCAACCTTTTTCTTTCTGCCTCTCTTGGGTTTAAGAACATCTGTGGACTCTTTGTCAGAAGAGCCCTAGAATTTGACACAATTTAATGATTATAATGCAGCTGACCACGAGCCATGAATATCTTGTGATTATATCTAACATTATAGGTCCATCTGCAGCGATAAGACAACCATCAGCCGGTCTGCATGTCTTTTTGACAAATGGCACCCTCCAGTGTACAACTGTTGGAATGCACTCAGTGAGTCACTACCCCAGTTTCACACAACATATTTTAAGATGGCAATAATTTAGTTTAAATCCCAACCACCCCACCAAACCCCCGTTTTGGTAAACAAAGTATAATAGTTGTGTGAAATTGGGACAAGGGTTATGAGGCGTTAAAAACCCCCAAAGTGTTACATCAGAAGGGATTTCAAAACTTACCTTTATCCACGATATATAAAACAACCGGAATATAGCCAACTTAAAGCAAGCAGGAGAATTATACAGTGTTTGGACAGGAAAGGGCAGGAAATGGAAGGTGTTACAAGTTAGAGAGGTCTCAGAGAGGTCAAGTGGAAGAAGAAAACGCACTCTTGTGCATAAAATAAGGCTCAGAACGATGTCCCAAGCATGACCTGATTTGATCCAGAGGCGCATTAACTGTTAAAGGACACTGACACTCCTTCCCTCATGTCACCAGTTAGCAGACTGACACACACAGACAGCTTTCTGTCATAATTCAGTTGTCAGCTCAGGACCATAGAAACACCAAACCAAAGGCAGTCTCATCAGGCCGACCAGAATTTCTTTCCACAGCTTCTCAGTTTTAGTCAATCATGACAAAACAAAACCCCAAAAAGCCCAGCTTGAAAAAACCACCAAGTGTCACATGCTTTTCCACAGAGAGAGGATGAGATGACCTGCACCACTTTATAGTACCCCAGCATGCAAAGTACGTACATCCTGGTTCTGAGGACCCTGCTCACAGATCAGAGACCCTTCATCCTCCTCCTCCTCCTCCTCCTCCTTCTCCTCCTCCTCATTCTCATTCTCCTGCTCAGACTCACTTCCTGGAACCTGAATGCACCCAAGACACAGCAGTGTGATGGGGTAAACGGGGTCTTAAAAGGGGAGAAAAGTTAGCCAGTATCCTTCTTTGCAGCACATTGCTCTTTCGTTCTATTACCAAAGAAGGAAGCAACTAATTTGAAAAATATTGCCTGCAGGAATATGTAAACCAATCTGAGGCAGACACACAAAAGAAGGTTTGAAAGACAGCAAATCTACACAAAAAAAAAAGGACGAGGACTTACAACACGAGGGCAAAACAGAAGAGAGTCACTGCAGAAAAGTGACTTGATAAAGCAACATGTCTCAAGTTAAGAAAGGAAGCTTACTTTAGTTTTGACCCCGTTATCACCTGCATCCTCTTCTCCTTCTGGAATAACATCCGAATCCTTCTCACCAAAAGACTCGGGGGGAACTGGCTTTAATTAAGAAAAAAAAAGATTAAGTATGACAACTGCACAAAAAACATAAGAAAGAAAATGTGAACAGCTGTAAACGTCAAGCATAGTCAGATCAAGGGACAGGTGCAGCAGGAAAAGAGCATATGGTTATGCTGGACTGACCACAGACCAACCAGTTTGGACACTGCAGCTGCTCCACTGAGCGGGTGAAAAGCTAAACTTAAGAGAAACTCAGTAATTGCGGCACAGCATGATTTAATTCAGCTGCTTCGTATAAACATACTTTAAACACTAAATATACAAACAAAATGACAATATGTACTGCACGAAGCTGGTGCTTAGGGGGAAATTTGCGGCTTACTGGCTCATAACGAATCAACAGCTACTGGTTAAACCGACGCTGCTGTGATTGCAGCATCTACCAGGCCTGATACTCGACCATCTCTGGGCTTTTTTCTTTGAGTTTCTGGTGGAGTTCTGCTGGGCTGCAAGTGGAGGGGGTGGCTTTGGATTTTTAGCCATTCGTTTTGATCTCATGGTCTGTGAAAGCTGATGCTCCTCCCTGCTCATCATTCATTAATTCTCTCCGTTGTGGCAAGACACATTACAGCTGCTGCAGGTTAAGTTCAGCCAACCACACACTTGAAATGTTAACTCTCTCTGATAAGCTTCCTATAAAAACAGTCAACAATGCCCACCAGCCAGGCAGCATCAAAGCAACGCAAGACTTACTGACTCTGGTGTAGATACAAAAAAGTCTTCGGAGGATCTGTACCTTGGGTGCAGTGAGCTCAACTTTAGGGTTGTTCTCAATCTCCCACAGTCCTTCATTGAAGCCTTTCCTCTTGTTTGGCTTTGCGTACTTCTCTTTGTTAGGCAGGTATGGAAAAATGTCTTTTGGGCCAAGAAATGCTCTGTAGGAAGGAAAATGATTTCAGCAAAGTCTGTCTGTTCAATATGAATCAAAACACAAAAACTATAGCAGGCGATCTACAGAGTGGAAGTTGAGAACATGGAGCCAAAACAATGAGCCAATCCTATTTAGCTGCTAAAAAAAAAAGAAATAATGAATTCTAAAGAGAATCCTCACAATGCCGTGTTTAACAAGTGTAAAGAGTTCGAAGTGGGAAGTCTTATATTCTGTCTTTGCAGTTGCAGTGCACCTGCTGGCCAAATACTCCCAAAGGAAGTCACACAGTAATGGCTGCACAAAAACAACACATTTACAGAGCAGGCACAACACCACAATCATCTATGCCAGCTTTACCTGATCATGCCCCTTCACAAATACTTGAAATATCCTCTGCATACTCCTACTGAATGCTGCTTTACCTGAACAAGTGAGTGTGAGGCCAATTAAACTTAACGGAGGTGGAAGAAACTGCTACTAACGTTTCATGGGTGCCAAAGAAGAAAATAGGAAACTTGATGTTGGATGGCTTCACGGCCCCATCTGGGATTTCATCGATCTGGCAAAGACAAAAAGAGGAAGTGGGTGTACATTCATCAGAGATGGGGGCCTGTGTGGGAGGATGCGGGTTACAAGCACATGCTATATTTGGACTGGAGAGCATGCACGGACAGTTCAAAGGCTTTGTCGTCGATTTTAGGAGAAGACTTACTCTTGCAGGCCAGTGAGGATAACCCTTCATCTTTGCGAAAATGAGATCACCCGGTTTCCAGTCCCGTGCCATATTTCGACGTTATAACGAGCTGGAAAATAAAAACAATGTGTCTTTAGTTAACGATTCCTCATCCTGGTCGCCTTCCGCCTTGCATCCTTTACAATTTACACTCAGTCAAACGTGACAGTCACTTTTATTGAGGCTCATTTAGGCCTGCAGTTCCCACAGACCCGTACAGCACTCAATAAAATCTCACAATTCATATTTTGTCGGCAAAAAGCCAAGTTATGAAAGGAAACATTAACACGGTTAAGCTCAGAAAGACACACATCAGCAGACATGCTAGCTAACGCTTAGCTATAAACTGCTAACAATTCAAGACTAACAGTTCCCTCCTATTATCTATATGGAATGTGGAACTCATTAACAAGGAAGCGAATGGGTAGTAGCTTATTATTTGATTAATAAAACATTAATTTACCAATAAAACACACGGTTCTTTTCCGCACTGTCGGGTACACGTTTTCCCCTCCCGCGCAGCACGTCGACAGACTGTACCACCCCCGTCAGAAAAGAGGGGTGTCTGTTTTAAATGTATGTCTCGATAGAGGTTATTTTTTCTGAATGAAGCAGAACTCAATAATTTAAGACACTCTTAATAAACCGGACGTATATGCTAAGTCACGGTTGAAGCTCTAATGCTGTAAAAGGGAATGTGCAGGAGCGGATATTTTTCGGTCGGCAGAATATTTCCCCGCTTCAAAGATTTTCCATGAAAACAAGAGGGGCTGACATCTAGAAAGAAAAAGTGGGCGTCAACATCCACACATGTGCTCCCCCTCAACAGCATAACAACTGGGCCATAAACAAACTTATCATTCAAGCAATCGAGGGCTATCCTCTCCACATTTTCGATAGAGGTCAAGAACTGTTTATTTTTTTTATTCTGGTAGCCGAAAAGACGACCAGAGTGGGGACTATTTGTCGCTCGTATGTGGTACTGATGCTGAGGACGCCACTCTGCTGCAGGAAGCAACACAAATACTCTATGGGTCATGGGCTCGTTCTACTGAAAGCACCATGCAGATAAAAAAAAAAGACCTTTGGATTATCAATATGTGAAGACAGATCATCAAAATGCTGCATTTTCTGTCTTGTTTTACTTTAAAACTGTGACAATAAAAGTTCCTTGCAATTTATAGCAATTAAATTATTTAGAAAGTTATCCTTGTCAATCCAAACGACATATCAGTTTTCCCAGGATATAAGAAAAGGGATAAAAACGCTATCACAGTCTCCATATTACTACTGGATATGAGTCTTTTAATCTCATTCAGTGAATATACTAATTTAATCTCAACTCCAGTGCTCAAATACTAACAGTCTACAACATCATGTCTGACATAAGCTTTCTGAGAATTTCTGCTTTGCTCTTTCAAAGCAATGATCTTCTGGGTGACTTTACTTCTGTTTTAGACATGTTAAAAGAAAAAGAAAAAGCGAGAACCTTTTTTTTTTAGCTGAAGGTGACTGTAGAAGTACAGAAACATCATGGCAGAAGTTTTGCAACTTGAAGCCATTTACCTGGAGGGTTTTGTTTACCAAATTTGTTTTAGAAATGTACACATTTACAAGAAATTTGAAGCTCTCATGTACTTATATTAATATGATAGATCTTTTACCCTATGTTGCTGTTGTATTTAATGTCAGCATTGCAAAGAAAATTGGAACAATATTAGTAAAAAAGTAAAACATTTAGATCAGAGTCCTCTCTCTGATTTCTCTCGCTCTGGCAATAATGTTGATATTCAGTGACCTCTAGTGGCAACGTGAGACTTAACAGAAAGTATAAGTGATGGATTTCTGTCAGCTAGAGGAATGCAACCTCAACAACTGTGTATACATGCAGTTGTTGAGTAAAGTGTTCCAACTACTAGAATCTACAGACTGACTGTTTAGTCTCAGAAGTATTGTTCCAGAAATGTTCTGATCGGCCATTTAAAATGAGGTGTTCTCAGTTTTGCATTTTGTAAAATTTAATCTAGAAAATTTGTCAATACAAATGATTGGTTTAACATTTATTTCAGCCCCTGTGACACCCTAACATTCTCTTGAGCAATTGAATTGCAGAGAACATTTAAGGGATAACCTTAAATGTTCAACAAAGCTGTTTTTTCTGGTCAGCCTCAGTAGTCTGGAGTGATTTCTGCTGCTACAACTCTGCAGATGATGGAGTTTAATGAAGGTGACTCTCACATTTATGGCCACACAGATACGCAAGCATTCATATGCGTGTGCTTGTGAGTGTATAATGAAAACAATAGATACTGATAGTTGAAGGACAGGCACACCATCCAAAGGGTCCCAGAAAAGGGGATAAGGGAAAAGAAAAGGCCATGCAGGGCCAGAGAAGGGTGGATGAGACAAAGGGAGACAAGAAGAGATGGAACTCAGGCCCATGCCCAGGAATAACTCACACCAGCAACTGGGCCCCCTATCCAGGTTGTGGGGTGAGAGACCTCGGCGTTGGATCCATGCCAGCTTCAAGGGGTTCCAGCCCAGACTCCTAGCTGCAGCAGAGGCCAGGGATGAAGCTGTAGAGTGATGACAGTGTGTCTGTGTATAGATACGAACGTGTATCCTTCACCTTGGCAGATGAGGTTATGCCAGAACACCCGAACCCACTCTGTCTCAGAGGGCCACAAAGTCCTGCTGTCCTTCCTCACTCATTTGTTAACCCGCGTCTCTTCTTTTCACAGTCCTGGCTCACGCTGTGAGATTCTATGATATGTATGATCAGTACCATTCAAAATCCAATCCCTACGTCAGTGCTGTGCTCTGGCCACCATGACAATGAGACAACCCAGAAAGAGAACAGCTGGATATCGTGAAGGTGGTCATTTGCTTTGCACCCACAACATGTAGAGTATCTATATAAATGTGACAAAG